AACTTTTTAACAAAAAATAAAAAATAAAAATCAGATATTTTCAAATCTAATGTATTTCAAAACGTAAAATACATACATATTTACCTATTAGATATTCATATCTTAAAATATTGTAGGCTGGCACCGACTTCGAAAATATCTGATTAGGTATCTATTCTAAATGAAAACCTCCGTTTAGTTATTTTTTACATTTTAGTGCCTGGAAGTCGGTTTTTATTTTTTGTTATATAATATGTAGTGATGTCACAATATTTCCATTAGCACCACTTTACAGTGACTTCAGAGTGATGTATCAAAATTTAATGCATTTTCCATTATTAGCACTTTTATGTCTTATGCTTTTGAACTCTTAATTAATAAATTTCTAAACAGAAAAAAAAGTATTCATAAGAACTAGTATCTTAGTGGGCTTGAAAATATAGAACGCTATTTGTTTGTTTTATAGTAAGTATGCGAGTATCATAGACTTTCTATCTGACTCTTTTTTTTTTGAGTTTTGGTTTTATTTTGTCGTAATCTCTTTTTTGTTTTAATAAAAATTAAAAGATATAGTTTCAGATTTAAGATAATTATTCTGGTTAGATGAGCCCTCGTAGCAATTTTCCGGAGCTTTAAGAGTAGTTGTGTCTCTTCGTCTCTTTATGCTCTCAGTTTATTTTAGTATGACATTCTGGCATAATTGGTATGGGATGTGAGCTTCCAGATCGGTCTCTTCGATTTGACATTTTGATAGTACACCTATTACAACTGAGTCGCTCTATTGAAAGCATCCGCGTATCAAAAGACACTTTTCATCCATTCACTTTCCTGATTTGATAGTAATATTGCGCAGCTATTTGCAGCTTAGCTTTCAGAGTCAACCAGTTCATATAATAAATAACATACTGTATAGCGTATAGTAATTTAATTTTATAGATCAATATTTGTCATATCTTCCCAATCTATACATAAAATGGCGACATTGCCGAACTAAGTAGCGCTGAACTAAGATCATAATTTACAAGAAAATTGAAAGAACTAAATTTCTAGTTAAGTAATTATTTCTATTTATAACATTATGATACAAATAGTAATAATTATGTATATATATATATATATATATATATATATTTATAAATTTATAACGCGACTAGCAACAAAGGAATCGCAGAACTTTTGCTATAGGCTCAAGCGATTAAAACATACAAGTGCTCGAAGTAAGATTTCGTTACAAAATAAATAATAGTAAAAGCAATAAAAAATATATCAATCAAATAATAATTAACATTATATATTAAGTTTTGAATCAGATCTTATCACATTCGGTGATATTTTAAGTTAATTAAACTAATTTAGCCATTTCTTAATCAAGCACGTTACGCACGAAATGGTAATTAGCATTATACGTCTGAATTTAATCTAAACCTCATTATGTTATATATCCCAGATGTGATGATTAAATTCATAAGCTCCTTACTGAAGTATTTAATAATAAAATATACTTTCTTTCCATTTTTCTATGTAAGAAGAGGGTAAATTCAAGAGGGTAGTTTCAGATTTAGCTGCTGTACGACTAGTACGACAATTGTGTTGGTAAAAAAATAGATTATTCATAATTATTATGAGGAACTGAAAAAAAAAATCATATTTTTTTCATGTTGGGAAATGCATTTACGCATTACGTATGGTATAATACAGGTGGTTATATGGGACTCCCCGGCTCGAAAAGCCAGTACTACCCACTAAAACCCAACAAAACCTTCCCCTTAATGGGGCGTCGCAGGATAACTTACGCACTCAACTACGATGCCCCGACGGTAGGTCTGCCGAAGCAGACCACAACAACCATGGGGTTGCTCCAAGGGGCCACTCTGCTATCAGAGAATTACCAGGAGCAACCCGCACGGTACACCGCCCACCCCCACCTCCCTGTGCGTTTCTTAGCTTCGCGCCCAGCTGGCCCCCCACCACGACAAGGTGAAGGCACAGAACTAAAAAATCCCTACCGAACGAACAGTAACATTTTTGAATTCTTCGTTATTCGATCGTTTCAGATTTTGTCATTCACGTTTTCTTGAAACTTATATGAAATAAATCTCATATACTTATTTGAATCCTACAATAGCCTATCCGGTCTGCAAACTATACAAGAAGTACAGTGTACTAAAAGCTCTTAGGATTATACCAAGGCCATAAGAGAGAAATATTCAAAGTAATGTCGTTAGATTTAAAAATTATTATATTGCGGCTCTTAGAATGATACTAAGAATTTTACAGTGCGCTATAATAAGAAAACCAAATCGAAACAAATTGTTGTCTCGTTGACATTAAGGTGATTTGTAATATCAAGGTAATACCAAGGTCGAGGCTTACCTTTTCTAGTATAAGTCGCTTGCACGCGATTCTATAACTATTAGTGAATGTGTGGTGGGTTTTGTATGTAGTTATTTCCTAGGTTACAGGAGAAGAAACTTTTTATTTGTTTTTTTTATATTGCAATTATATGCAAAATGTGCATATTGAAGTTAATATTTTGACACTATATTTTACGTTTATTAATTAGGAGTGTACTAATCAAATAATAACATAAATGACTTAAGAAAAGGTACTATGTATATATTGTTATTCTTGTAATTATTATGCCAAATAGTACTTTTTTAGACTTACGCGAATGTTTGACATCTGTACATATAATAAAATTCTAAGTCAAATCTGTACATTAAATATTTCTTAGAAAATCTTCTTGAAATAGACATTATTATCGCTAACAGAGGCCGAACCTATAGTTTTAAGAATTTTTATCTGTCTGTCTGTCTGTGACCGCATCACAGAAAAATCACTGGAGGGATTTTGAAGAAATTTGGTATAATAATAGCTTGTTATCCGGGTCAACTAATATGAGTATACTAATATATAAATCCTAAGAATTTGGTTTTGGTCATATGAACGCGGGCGGAGCTGCGGGCAATGCTAGTATTAAATAAATCTGTCTTTTCAGATTTTTTCACCGATTTATTTTGACTTTTGGTTCCCGACGTTTCGAATACTTTACAGCTATCATGGTCACGGGAGAGTCTTTCGGAAAATGAATCCGCGAAAAAATCCGAAAAGATAGTTTTATTAAAATGCCAAATAGATTAACTATATTTTGCAAATGAAGTTAATTTCTTTGCTCGTTCATCTATAAAAAAAAAAGAATTTCGACTTTCTTATTTTCATATAGATATTCTTACGATACTAATGTGGACTTTTTTATTGTAAAATATTTTTACTCATGTCACGGCATCGCCTCGCTTAGATGAGCTACTACGTAACTTTTTCCAGCAAACATATTCCCATGAGAGCCTCTTTAGGCACTGAAGTAATTGTGCATAAAAACCCTGTAATTCATTGCTCCATTGCCGCTTAAAAGAAAGATACAATGACATCCTGAATTGTACCTACGATTTCACCCACGTTTTGTTTTATTTAGTCTACAAATACAAAAGAATACTATAAAACAACGAAGATCTGAGGATTTACAACTGAAGCTTTATAAAAAACAGATAAATTAATTTTAACTCGAAGAAATTGCTTAATCATATCATCTAATTGGACTAATTAAATTCAAAGGTTGTGTTTATAAATTAGACTAAGACAACTACCAGCAGAAAATTTATGAAATAATACTAAACTTGATTATTACACAACAAAAAAACTGAGTTTTTTTTTCTCTGACAATATTTCTATGTAAAGATTTCTCTGGCAAGGATCATTTTCTAAAAAAATACCCTGAATATTAAAATTACCGAAAAGAATCCTTTTACCTTCTTGGTGCTTGATTTATGCTTTCGCGTCGCGAAGAGGAAAAAATTAAAATATTTTTAGACTGTGCTAACAAATTGGGATCTAAATTCTCACCTTGACGGAAGGGTATTTCTTAAATATTGTTTTATTCCTACTTACATTTTTCGTTCAAGTCCAATTTGATCCTGACCTAGCCGACAAAATGGATGACACCATAAGAAATTCATTAGAAAAAAATCGAAATGTATCTTTCGCTGAATTTCTAAATTTATATTTCATAATTATAAAATGACTTACTTTAGTGCTACCATTAATACGCTGCATATGGACTATATCATGGACAATTTAACACAATTTGTTACTATGTATGCTCAATATGAGATTTCATTATTTTTGACCCTTATTCCAATCAACTTATGCAAATGCTTATACCACACAGAAGGTCTCTGTTCTAACAATAATTACTATGCATATCAGCCAAAACGTTGAATAAACAAACAATGCAATGCGATCGAAGGATGGCTTACATATAGATTATATAGATCATGAAAGAAAATACATATTATATGAAAAAAATATTCTGCTTATTATTATTTTTTAATTTCTCAGTAAAAAAGTATTTATATGTATGTATGGTTTGTATTATTAAATCTCATATAAAGAATAATATAGCATTTATAAAGAACTAGCTGCTCACCCTCGCTTCGCTCGGGTTCGTCGCTAGGTACGTTTTAAATAGATATAAGTAGTTATTAGCCAGCGTTAGCCATTTTAATTTTTTTTTCGTTAATTTTTCAATTTTTTCATTAATAACAAACACGACAAAAAAAGTTAAATCGGTCCAGCCGTTTACGCGTGATGGCGTGACCAAGGGAAATAGGGATTCATTTTTATATATATAAAAAGATGCCTGTCTCTCGGTTTGTTAATTTAGTTTTCATATGAATTCTCCTGTATAATTTCTTATTCAGCGAATGTTCTTTTTTCACCTGGATGTAAATTGGGTAAATAATGATTATTCTGACGTGTTTATTTTTATTGTTATTACTCATTTTGACGTTTTGTTTTAAATAACTAATAGATGTATTGTTTTTATGAAGCATTTAATTAAAACACAAATATTTTTTTATATTTTATTTTATTCTTTTATTTATAACTATGAAATTTAAAAATATTAAATTATAATAAAAATCTTATTATCCACAAGTATATTAACTCAAGTGATTTCAGTATTAAACATCTTTAAAAATAAAATTATACGGTCCAATTAAATAGTTCAGTGTATTCGCTTTAGTCTTTAGCGGCTCTCCGAACCATTCTACGTGGAAGTTTTCTATTACCTTAGAAACAAATGTGTCTATTTCCAATTCGGCTATTCGTCGACCTAAAGAGTAATAAAAACTTAAATTAGATGCTTAAATTAGATTTAAACTATGTGAAAAAACCGACTATCCTCTTTCTGCATTCATCATCAAATTAAAAAAAATGACAAACAAACAACAACAATATTCGGACTATTTATCACAATTTGTTACTGTGTAATATCAATGTTCATCATTTTTGGCCTCAAAGATAGATATGTTAGATACGCGTGTGAATAAAAATAGAAAAAATACATACTTTATACTAAAAACTTTAAGTTGTAGAAAAAAAATATTTCCATTTCATTTTATAAGCTGTGGACCTAAAGGTGAATAATATGTTCATTTATATGTTTATAATACATAATATAGTAACTTAAAATACATATATGGAATTCTGACATAATCTTTCTATATATTTGAGACTAGTGCTTATGATCATGAATATTGGTATCTGAATAATCTGAATGACCTGTAATTTTATATTAGACTAGCGACTAACCATGGCTTCGTTCGGGCTTGTCCATAGGTTGATTCCCCATACAAACTTTCATCCCCATTTTCACCCTCTTAAGGGATGATTTCCGGAATAAAAAGTATCTTATATCCTTCTCTGGATCTCAAACTATCTCCTTACCAAATTTCATCTAAATCGGTTTAGTAGTTTTTGAGTTTATTCGTTACAAACATACAAAAATACATATCTTTCCTCTTTATAATAGTAGTGTAGGTAATAAATAATAATGTTAAAAAATATATATTATACCTATACAACTTCTTACGCCGTATCCAAAAGGTCCATATACAAATGGATGCGTATTACCATAATATAAGGGATCGTTCTTATCAACGATCCATCTCTCTGGAATAAACTCAGTAGGTCGGGGAAAATGTTCTTCCATTAAACACATATATTGATTTGCAACTATTAAAAACATCTGGAAAGAAAATTACAAAATAAATACTTATCTATAATAAGTATATAGACTTTAAATGAAATGTCTAGTAAAAAAAATTAAAGATTGCGTGTACTCGTATTAATATATACACGCGCATGAACTGAAACTTCTGTAGGTTATCGGTAATTTTTACGAAATTCAAATGATATTTTAAATATTAATTAGGATAGAAAAAATACTAACAAAAATATGTATGTATCGATTTAAAAAAGAAAACAGTATTTTATTGTTCACATAGTACAGATGGTGTTAAGATAAATTTTAATTTTCAATCAAATGTTGTAATGATTCAATAAATTATATACTCAAACAAAATTTGTTTTTCTACATTTATTTTTAGTAAAAAAACTTATATTTATAAAGTTTAATTCATTTGGTATGATTCCATCGCTCATTTAAAAATAATAATATTTTTTTTAGAAATATCTATTTTTATTTAATCTATTCTTTGAAATACTCATTCAATAGATTAAATAATTTTTAATTGACTATTTATTCACTTCCGTAACGTACCGTTTTCGTTACCAAATTAATAACTTAAATTTGCTTAATAGAATTGAGTATATTTTCTTGTTTCTTAAAAAAATATATGACGATGATGATGATGATGTTCTCCTAGCCGATTCCGGCCACGGCGGCCAATCTCATTGAGACTAGCCAACTGTGCAGGAGATATTATAGTGCACAAATGTACGCGCAGACACAAAGTGCACTCTCTATTCCTGTCACTCTCATACTCTGGTGGGACGACTGCTGGACACGACCAGTGAGAGTTAAGGCGCCGGACCGACGGCTTTACGTGCTCTCCGAGGCACGGGGGTGAAACACCGCCAACTTCCCAACTCCGGGCTGTTACTGAGATAATCAATATAAAATATTTCTAAATAATCAATAACTAAACTTGGACCGAATCGGGACTCAACCCAGGACCTCCGAGTGTGCAGCCGTACATGCTAGCCACTACACCACCGAGACAAAAATACGAACCGACAACGGTTCGTATTTTTGACGTAATCGGTTAGAGTTTTTATCAAAAAAGATAAAAAATGTCTAATATCATTGATCAATAACTTAACATTGTTAGTTCTAAAATATATCTCACATCTTTCGGAATTTTATATCCCAGAGCGTTATATTCCTTGGTGGTCTTTCTGAAATTACCTCCCACTACCGGCATTAACCTGATTGTTTCCTTAACACAAGCTCTGAGATATGGTCTTTTTTCTGATTTTGACAATATCTCTTCCCTTAATTTATTTTGTTTTTCCTGGTTTTTCGCTAATTGATATAAAGCTGCTATGACAGAATTTGCAGTCTGTAAAAAAAACATGAATGCAATAATAAAATAATAAGTACCTATGCTTATATTCATATTTTATTATATTTAACTGTCCTGATGCCTTTATAAATTTTAATTTAGATTTGTGGAGATTTAGTTTTTAAACGAAAAATATAAAGGTATTTATTAAATAAATGGAATGATACTGAATACATGTCCCGAAGTAATAAGAAATATAAGAAATATATATTTAACAACATCCGCAGTCTAAGAACGACAAGTCGCAAAATACTTGTGGACGCGATAAGCGAGTATAGTAACACGCCGACTCGATTATGAACTCGTGCGAGACGATTCGCGGCAAATTCGTGCCTCCTTAACAAGTCAAGAACTTAATATCTATACTAATCTATATATATAATAAAATTGTAACTAAGCCGAATCTGTACATTAAATATTTTTTCAAATAAACATTATTATCGATACAGAGGCCGAATCTATAGTTTTTAGAATTTTGTCTGCCTGTCTGTCTGTCTGTTACCGCATCACAGAAAAATCACTAGATAACAATAAGATTTTCCAAAAAATATTTCATGTACAGATTCGGCTTAATTAGAATTTTATTATATGTATAGACTAGCATTGCCCACGGGTTCGCCCGTTTTCAAATGACCAAAAATCAAATTCTTAGGTTTGACATATTAGTATACTCTTACATTGCAGTTTTTGTATTTTTTTTCAGAAATAAGACATTTTCCGTGGTAAAAAGTATTCTATGTGTTGACCCGGATAACCAGATATACCAAATTTCATCAAAATCCTTCCAGTGGTTTTTTGTGATGCGGTAACAGACAGACAGACAAAAATTCTAAAAACTATAGATTCGTCCTCTGTATCGATAATAATGTCTATTTCAATAAGATTTTCCAAAAAATATTTCGTGTACAGATTCGGCTCAGTTACAATTTTATTATATGTATAGACTATGTTAGAACTAAATTCGTTAAAATGTATATTATATACTCGTATTCGTTTTTATTTTAATAATTGTATAACCGAACCACCAAAAATGTTCTCGTTGTGTTTGCTTTAAAACGATTATACATAACTGTGCTCTATATTATTGATTTAATTTAAATTATTTTTCAATAACATGTAATAACCAATAACATACCTTATTAAATAAATAAATAAAACAAAGTATACATTAGTTATACCGTATCGACACCAGCAAGTAACATGTCGCTAGCCATAATCACTGCAATTTCAGGATCTATATCAAGCAACTTTTCAAGCACGCCCTTTTCTTCGTCATTTTTATTCTTTTCTTTTAGTTTTAGTTGTTCCATTGTTTCATTTATGAAATATTTATTAAGCCTGTAAAAAGATAGATCCCAGTGTAAATGAAAAGCTAGTTTCGAATTATTTAGTGGCAAATTATTAAAAACTTACTTAACATGCTCATCATAACATCTCATAGCTTTTTTAAATGTGCGTGTTGGAAAATAACGCCAAAGGCTCGGTCGGAAGTCTAATTTTTCTGCAATATTTAGAACATCGCTAACAGACTGTATCAATTTTCTAACAGGAGATTCTTCGGGAAGATTAGAATCGAAACAATTAAGCCGGCGTCCAAGTGCAACAATTCCAATCGATTCCAATGCCCACAAATTCATCTCTATATCAAATTTACCATCTATCATATTTTTCTCATTTCGCTTTGTTTTCATTCTACAAAAAAATATCTTGTTTTTATTTAACTAAAATAAATTTTCTAGCTTTTCTTATATTATATAGACCTTTTTATCATATCTTCTGCTACTTCTGTCAAAGCTTCTCTATAGAGTTTAATAGTTTTCGGTTGTAGCATCACTGGATTAACTACTGTTCGAAATTTTCGCCATGTTTCACCATGTCTGGAAAAATCAGTAAGAGAAACTTTTACCTGTAATTTAATTCTAAGGGTACTACTAAAATTGTAGTCTGATATATAAGATTTTACTTACTAACTGAAATCTGACACTGTTGATTGCAACATTATCAGATTCCAATCAAAGTAGACAGTAGTAGTAATAATAATGAAGAAGAAATATTGACTTATAAATATTGATAAATTCCAATTAGATAAACCATAAGTTTCAACTACCTTTCGTTATTTTTAAAAGTTGATTATAATCTATACATGTAATAAAATTGTAACTGATCGCTGTCTGTACTGTATTATTGGAGGTCTTTATTAACGCAATAGAATTCAAAACAATGATTTTTAGCATTTTTGTCTGCCTGTCTGTTTGTCTGTGTGTTTGAGTGCGCTAATCTCAGAATGGCTTAGCCGATTTAGATGCGATTTTCGATGTATTTTAGTTAGCTGCACTTAAAATTTAATATTTGTTCCATTTTAATCAGTCTATAAATAAAAAGGTTATATCGATTTAAAGAATCACCTATGGACGAACCCGAACGAAGCGAGGAGGAGTCGCTAGTAAATAATATGTACTTGTATTTAAAAAAATCTCACTCAGTTATCAGACCAGTCGATGCATCAGAAGGAGAGCCCCGTCTACTGTAAACCTTTCTAAAATATTCCAGTGATTGAAATCCGGGGCGGTTTGGAGTCCAGTTTTCATTTCGAAAAATCTGAAATAATAATATTTATTCATTCTAATAACATTTTAACAATTCTAAAAAGTTGCGTGATATACAAATGATGAGTTTTTAAACTCTTGGAAATGGTCTTATTTTTGGCATCACGCTTATTAAAAGATAAAAATTATTTTTACTGCGTAGTACTTACTTGAATTGCAGTTTCGGGATCATATAGAAATATCATTGGAAAGGATCCGAAAGTGCCTTGCAATTTAACTATAGCACCATAAGTTTTGTACAAGATCTCTGGCAATTCCTCATTTTTATTATACAGCATACCTTATAACATAATAGATAAAAAAAAATTAACAAAATAATTTAAAGATTTAAAATAAAAATATACGTGATATTTTCGCGTTTTGAGGATTCACTTATAAAGTGTTTGAACTAGTCAAAGATGATTTTAATAAAAACATAATAAACATTTTATACAGCCTTTAATAAATTAAAGTCTAAAAAAATTTAGACGGCACTACGTTACTTACTTAGTGTTGTAATAATAGTAATTGTATGTATTCAGCCCTTTTTGACGTCCCACTACTGGGCACGGGCCTCCCTTCAATACGAGGGAGATCAGGCCATAGTCCACCACGCTGGCCAAGTGCGGGTTGGCGGACTTCACATGTCTTTCAAAAACTTACTAGGTTCTCTCAAACATGCAGGTTTCCTCACGATGTTTTCCTTCACCGTAAGGCAAGTGGTCATGTTAAAAATGATTTGCACATGAAAATATCAGAGGTGCGAGACCCGTGATTTGAACCCGCTTCACTCGGTTTCCCAAGCGAGCGCGTTACCACTGCCTATAATAGTAATATTAATTTTAATTTAATCCTATATTGAATTAATTCTAGATAGATTGATACTTAAAAAGTACCTCCTGGTAAGAAAGTCAACAACTGTCCAATTAGGGGAAAAGATGGTGGGCCAGGAATTTCTTGCCATGACTTCAAATTAGTATCTTCAAATGTTTCATTATTTAAAGTTGATGCAAATCTAAAATGATGGTACATATATAAATTATAGTTAAATTAATATCAATACAGATAAGTCCTAGGTTACTGGAGTCTAACCTAGGACCTCTGAATCTACTCGCGAAGCCAAGTAACGCACAGGGAGGTGGCCCGCTTCGGTGGGCGGTGGGAGGCGGCCTTCTTCGGAGGGTGGTGTACCATGCGGGTTGCTCCTGGTACTTCTCTGATAGCAGAGTGGACCGTGAAGTAACCCCATGGTTGTTGTGGTCTGCTTCGGCAGACCTGCCGTCGGGGCGTCGTAGTTGAATGCGTAAGCGATCCTGCGACGCCCCATTATGACGGGGGAAGGTTTTGTTGGGTTTTAGTGGGTAGTACTGGCTTCGCCGGTGAGTCCCACACTTCGTGCGTAAATGCATTTCCCAACGTTAAAAAAAAAAGGACCTCTGAATCTATAGCCACAAAAGCTAGCCGCTAGATCTACGAGACAGTCACTACTACGACACACCTGATTACAGGACTAGTATCTAAATTAAAAAACCGCATTGAAGCTTAGCCTTTGAGCTTTTTAATGAAAAAACCTGCCTGGTCATTTGGCCAAACAAAGAGAAGACGTCGCGGGTTCGATCCAAAATTAAACCTAAGATCATAAGGCTACATACAGTAATAGCATATCATTTAGATATACGTAAGGTAATTTTACTTTAGATTAAGTAATCTAGCTAGCATTGAAGATAATGACAATCTCTTATCCCACGGGGCATTTTAAGTCACCAATGTCAATCTTGCCTGAAATTTCTACTTGCCATTAAAATTCTCGTTTGAATCTATCTGTTCAGCTGTTTTACAAATTTTCAGGTACATAAAATGTATAGTTAATTATTTAAATTATATAATTTATTTTATACGTATAGCAGTGAAAATAAAAAAAAGATTGAAAAAATTAATAATTATTTACAATTATTTCAATACGTAGATCAAAATTTCAATACGCCTTCAAAAATAAAATTGCAAAACTGCCTAAAAATAAAACTGCTTTAATATCTTACAATAAAATCGATACATAATAAAATCAATGTCAAAAAAATTTAGTAATTTATTACAATATACTTAAAAACGCAAAAAAGCTTCCATTTTTATCAAATATTTTAGTGACTTGTATAATACTGACATTACGGGACTTAAACGCATCACGAGTGTATTCGTACGAGAAAAAAAACTTATTAGAAATTAATTAAATTTAATAATTTACGATTACACGTGTTGAGTCCGTAGTATCATTATTATATGGAAAGCAAAAATTTAAAAAGTTATATTTTAGTGACTTACCTCATATGGAAACTATTTTTAACAAGACGAACGTATGTAATAGATCTTTTTAGATACTGCATTTTTTCTTACACACTTTGTACTGCACTATCAGAAGCTATCACCACTATACTATTTATTCAAATCTTTATCATTAATGATTATTTTTAGTTTTATCAAAGAAATCCAGCTGATTCACTTCTATTTATAACGCACAGATTAAACGTCATTCAGTGTGAACTACGTTATTTTACTCTGCTGTTAATCTCTCCTTCTAAATTCCGTCGGATAACCTTGATCCTTAATCGTTCTTATGTATGCGTAGAGTGGTTCGCATAATAAAATAAAAACCAATATTTTCAACGGTTCTATGGGACATTTTACAATATTAAGTACTAACTGTGATTATAATTACTATGTTTTAACTAAAAAATAGTTTTAATTCAATAGTAACTTCTTACGTTCAGAGCACTACAAGAAAAATATTTTTTCTACTACTTTAAATAAGGAAAATAGTCATATAAAATACCAGAAAGAACGTGTTCCCTCCATCCCATTTCCTTAAGATAGATAAAACTAATAATAATACTATTGAAATGTGAAAAATGTAATACAAAGTCTAGATTCTAGTTTAAAATTCTCTATGGTAGAGCCCTATCTAAACCTTGTTTTGATATATAGTATATGCAGCATAGCGGATACGGTCTATTCTCAACGTCGACCATTTTAACGTCATGTTATTGTAATCATGTAATGCTTTATGAATAGCAAACGCAATAGCGGTTTCGCAATTGAACAAAATATGAATCAAGAGTACTTTGAAAGAATGAAGTTATGTATAACAATTTTGCTGATTCATGTGCAAAAATAAGATTGTTACATTTAATAACATATTATAGCTTTTATCGTCTTGATATTTTGTTTGGAAACGTTAGGTATTACCATTTTTTTGTGTTTATTTAAGTTTGTGATAACGATAAATAAATAAAATAATAACTATATATGTAATATGTAAGTGTTATTGGTGATATTTTGTGAATAATAAATTTTATACTGTACATGATTATATATTTGTTTTGTTTTTAAATATATTTAGATATCCATTTTTTTCATAAAAAATTATACACCACACCCCAACTTACAATGCCTTGACTGTCAATTTGTCTTATCAGGTCATCAGACCAATTATCTTTTTCAAATATGTTTCTAGATATCTAATATTTGTATAAATAATCGCTTTATATATTTGTTTATTTATTTCTTCAACCTATAATAAAATTACTACAGTCCTACTACAAGGCCATATAGGCTGTTTCGTTTACCATGTATCAATTTTAAATAGACTCATTGGCCATTTGACTAGAATTTCTTCTGGAGAATACACGTATTGAGTTCATAGAGATAAAGCAATCACTAAATATGTTTGTTATTGTTTTAGAAGTAAGTTTACTTTTGATATCATTAGCCCAAGTGAAAGGTGTGCCTAAGAAGAAATCTTATTCGGAATTAAAATCGTGCAATCTTGGTGCGTTAGCGGAGGAAATAGCATCTTATGATACTGTGGTCTCTGATATTATTGACTATGTGGTTTCTGGTCCATTTAAAGGAAAAACTTATGATGAGTAAGTATTATTTTATCTACTAACTAGTGGCTCACCCTCGTTTCGCTCGGGTTCGTCGCTAGGTACGTTTTAAATAGATATAAATAGTTATTAGCCAGCGTTAGCCATGTAATTTTTTTCGTGACTTTTCCGATGTTTCAATTTCAATAGTTATTCTGTTATTCGGGACGGAGACAAATCCAACAAATTAAAGATCATAAAAATCGGTCCAGCAGTTCTCGAGTATATATAAGTGTTATAACAAAGCCGATTTTGTTTTATATAGCTTTACTAAATATGACATTTACATAAATTAATAATAGATTATTCTTATCATCTGCTTATTTAATTTATAGTAATCTTAATGTAGTAAAACAGATGCGGAGACTTAGTACGCTCAAATATGGTAGGTTGAAATATTTAACTTATACGTATGTCTTTATAACGGAATTCATATAACAGATTTTTGAATTTTTACATTTAAAAAATCCAATGTTCGGAGATGATCTTTCTACGTTGAACAAATTGCAGTATGTATATTAATGTATATAAGATTGTTACATTTAATAACATATTATAGCTTTTATCGTCTTGATATTTTGTTTGGAAACGTTAGGTATTACCATTTTTTTGTGTTTATTATTTATATATTATTACTTATATATCTCTGGTATACTGATCTTTTAATGCGTTTGCCCATTTAATCTACTACATAAACTTTGATCAAACTTTGTACAGTAATGATATGATTGTACTTAATGTTTTTCTCTATATTTTTTTATAAATAATTCTACTCGAAGTTTCTTTTCTAATTTTTTAGTTTAGTTTTTCTTATTTGTGTTAGTTATAAGTGAAAACTGGGTAGGTTAGGTTAGTATTTGTTTTATGTCGATTGCAATAAAACAAATACTACTTAAATGAAGCTTACGACAATGCAGTTTCTGAGATTAGCGCCTGCAAACGCACAGACAAACATTTTAAAAATCATTATTTTGGATTCTATCGCGTTAAGAAAGTCCCCAATAATAGTTTTTCTTAAATATCTTCCATGTGCAGATAGCGATCAGTTACATTTTTATTATATGTACAGATTAGGAATATTCTCTGGGTAAATAAGAAAATCGGCTTACAGGACAAATAATACATTGCATAATTAATATACATACAAAAAATATACTCATGAATTTAGAACTTTTTCTTTTTTGAAGCCATTTTAACGTTGTTAATGTTGCTTAAAATAAAAAAAAAAAACAATATTTACAGTAAAATGCAAAAATAATTCATTTATTAATAACATACATATAAATATAAAATTATATATTAATTAGAAAATAACATTGTAGGTTATATTCGCTAATACCTAGAAGTAAGTATAAGTTAAGTAGTGCCTATTCCTCCTCTATTCCCATGTTTTTGTTATTGTTCTAAAGAAAGTGTAGATTTCATTGTTAATTTTTCTCACTTGCATATTTACCTCAGGGAAAGTAATCTATATGTGAATTAAATTGGTTCTATATTCTTTTTATTGGTTCTTTTTTAAAGCTAAATTAGTTATGTTTTTTTTTTACTAACCCCCGACGCAAAACGACTGTTATAAGTTTGACGTATCTATGTGTGTGTGTGTGCGTCTGTCTATGGCATCGTAGCTCGCGAACGGATGAACCGATTTTGATTTTGTTTTTTTTTTGTTTGAAAGGTTAATTAGCCGGGAATGTTCTTAGCTAGCTATGATTGATGATAATCGATCCATGATGGTCGGGATTTTTTTAATTTTTAATTTAATTTCTTATGGTTATCGAAACACTAAAACTGTTATTCTATTTACGCAAGGCCACGGAGCTGCTATGTAATCAATTACATTCGATTTACGAACGTTACGGCTAGTATGACCAAGCAAATTATCGAACAGTGTGCACACGTGGAAATGACACACTATAGTTTCGAGGTCTTAAAAAGTTATCCAAAAGTTTAGTTGTATATTTTCCCATTTAACTCCTTCGTAAATCAATACTAAATCGGTGTAGTGTGCACGCTATCAATCTTCATGAACCCAGTCAAAGTATCGACCAAAGAAGCTTGTACTGTACTCAGTGGGGCTATAAAATAGCACATGAACACAGCCTCGTCGAGCAATTTATAAAGTAAAATATTAATTTGGCCTTTAAAGTATGAAGTAATCTACAGGTAACGACACAAGTTTACCAATAGCAAAACCTTGTGCTGATTTAACAGCACATCCAATTTAAAAAAAAAACTTAACATGTAATTGATAAAACTACTACTATATTAAAATAAACTTACAAGATTATAATATTATTTATGCTAATTCTACAAAAAAAAATTAAAAATAAACTGCAGCTGTCAAAAATAATTTTATTCTATCAGCTAAAACATATTTTTAAGCTTGGTTTAAAAAGCTTAAATTTTTTTTTTTTTGAAAACTAAGCACGCGGTTTCAAATAATTTTAGTATCACTTATTTTTTCATATAAAACTGTAGGAAATGACAATCTAACGAAAAAATCTATATCTAATATACATATAATAAAGTTCTTACTGAGTCGAATCTGTACATTGAATATTATTTCATGGAAAATCTTATCGAAATAGTCATTATTATAATACAGAGGCCGAATCTAAAGTTATTAGAATTTTTGTCTGTCTGTTTAGGAATGCATCACGAGAAAACCTCTGGACAGATTTTGATGTGGTATGGTGATAGCTGGTTATCCGAACTAACATATAGGATACTTTGTACTGCGGGAAAATATTTCTCTCTGAGAAATCTATACTAACCGTTAAAATATATGTTAAATCGTTAAATCTTTGGTCCGATTATTAGGCAAAAAGAAATTATCTATAAATAAATAAAATACCCGATAGTTGTACGAACGAACAGATGAGATACATACATGTATCGCAATAAACTAAATAAAAATATGTACCGTGTTAGGTATAATTTTCAAAATCTAGCGATATCCTTAAAATGAAACACTATAAAATAACACTCAGGAGAATACTAATAAAATTAGAAAAATAAGGCAAAATATAATCTTAAGGTTAACGAAGAATTAATAAAAAAAAACATTAAAAATATTTAAAAAATTTGTTAAGAATCATAGTATTTCCAAGTATTAGGTTGTATTGTGATATATATTGTATATAATACTAGCGACTCACTCTCGCTTCGCTCGGGTTCGTCCCTAGCTTGATTACCCATACAAACTTTCATCCCCATTTTCACCCTCTTGAGGGATGATTTCCGAGATAAAAAGTATCCTATGTCCTTCCCGTATTCTTAAACTATCTGCTTAGCAAATTTAAATCGGTTCAGTAGATCCAGAGATTACCCCCTACAACGTCACAAACTCACAAACTTAACCTCTTCATATTATTAGTATAGATTTAAAATTTACACCACCTACCCTGTATAGTCTTCTATATTTCCTAACCCAAAGGTTGTCTGAAAGAAATCGTTAATAAGCGATGAGTCCGACTTTTGTGCACACTTTTGTGTTTGTTTTTTGATATTTTGTTCACTGTATTTACTTCATGATTGTAGTGTACAATAAAGTATAGTATATATATATATATATATATATATATATATATATATATATATATATATATATATATATATATTTAGACACTAGATAAGGTGGCTTTGGGAAAATTTTATATTTACCTTACGCCCTTTTTTCCGCCGAAACTTCTAAGACTCCGTCTTCAATTTTATTATTATTACAAACGTATCGTATATTATAAACATTGTACATTAGTCGAATAAATTAAATTAATTTATTTGTCCGATTATTGGGAATAAATATAAATTATTATTATTCCTCGGACAAATACTTATATATTCATAAATAAACTATCGTACGAATGTACATTTGGTGTTTGTTATAAGATGTAACGAATGAACACAAATAAAAGTCTATGTTACGTCACTAATTAGATAATTACTATCGAAAAGTCAACACACACGTAAACAGTACAGAAGACAAAGTTTAGGGAGATATACAATGAAATATACAAAGAGTTACAGTACAAACACAAGAATTCCACATACAATAACTCACGAAAACGATAAAATTATTTAAAGCAAGTAGTTAGCGTCAAATCACAAAGCATCGACTGTCTGCTTAGTAAAAATCACAAGTGGCCGGTAATAAATATGAATAAATAATAATTAATAAATATAAATAATGAAGTATACGTGTTGTACGTATGTATGTAGGTGTGTGTATAATATAAATACGTAAATTAAACATTAAATAAAATATAAATATTATTAAATGAAAAGTTTAATATATATGTACATATGATAAATTAAATATTTTTTAGTATAAGTCACCTACATCATACTTAAAATAAAAACATTTCGATATAATTTAACAATACGATAAAAATAATTTATTAAAAAAGCATAACAAGTAGGATAAAATATATAAGTATTTCCATGTTTAATATTTTAGATACTATAGATAAAATAGCTTTAGCACGCATTACGCCTAAATAATATTATCCGTAACATAAGTGTCTATCGGATGTCTCTTGAGTAAATAATAAAAGACATTTCGACAGCTGCCAATTTTTCTTTAAGAGATAAGATAGTCGCTCTACAAAAGGACTTCAGCTTATCATAGCATCACAATATTTCAAGACGCGGGTAGAAAAATGAGTTTATCAGCCCAAATTCTTGTAACCCTTTTCATTATTTTTATCTGTGAGGCTAAATTTGTACCCAAAAAGGTTGATAATTGTAAACACTTGCTAGGTAAGGATTTGATTAAGGAAATAGCGTCATACAAACATGTGAGGGATGAAATATTCAAATATGTATTGGAAGGAGAGTTCAAGAGCAAAACTTATGATGAGTGAGTGAAAATTCCTGTACAAATATATGTAAATGTATTTAGTTAAAAACTAAGTGATCTATACGAAAGTATTTAGATTTTCTTACATTATATAATAAATTTATTTACACGTAATATAGTATTAAAATGTGTGAATACTGAATTATATTTTTATAGGTTAGTATATAAAAACGTGCAGTTTTATACATTTTTTTTAAATAGCATGTTATATTTTTAGATTGGCAAATTTCGTCGACACGTTTGGTGCTCGTCCATCGGGATCACAAACACTCGAAGATTCTATTGATTACATGATTCAGCTGAGTCGTGAGGAGGAAATAAATGACATCGTTACGGAAGAGTTAGAGGTAATTAAGGACAATAACGTTTTCCAGATCTCTATCTTCATATAACATGTGCTAAGTTGCTTTCAGTCGCATAAAATATATAAGTAAAAGTGTAAAGTATTCTTTATTTTACAAATTAAAATTATAAATTAGATAATATTAAAACAAATTAAAAAATTTACTATAGTTTCATTAATATCGTGATTTATTTTTACAGGTTCCCCATTGGATTAGAGGAACAGAAAAAATAACTATGCTCGAACCTAGAGTAAAAGATATTGCCTTATTAGGTCTTGGTCGTAGTGTTTCCACTCCACCTGAAGGTATAACGGCTGAAGTTGTTGTGGTCTCAGATTTTAATGAACTCTCGAGATTATTTAACAAGGACATTGAAGGTAAAATTGTATTATATGATCCAGTATTTACAACCTACGGAGAAACAGTAGTATATAGATCTCAAGGAGCAGTGAAAGCGGCAGAAAAAGGTGCAGTGGCTTCTCTAGTTAAGTCTATAGCTCCATTTTCAATTAATTCGCCTCATACTGGCTCACAAAACTATGATGAAAATATAAAAAAAATACCTACTGCAGCAATATCCATTGAAGATGCAGATTTACTGAGAAGGTTTTATAACAGAGGGGAGAAAATTGTCCTGAATATTACAATGTCATCAACATTCGAAACGAAGACTTCTAGAAATACACTTATCGACTTGAAAGGATCTACAAATCCAGAAAAGTTGGTAATTGTGTCAGGACATATTGATAGTTGGGATGTTGGGCAAGGTGCGATGGACGACGGTGGCGGCTTATTTGTAAGTTGGGCTGCCCCAGTAATTCTTAAACGACTTAACTTAAGACCAAAGAGAACAATTAGATCTATTTTTTGGACTGCTGAAGAACTTGGATTGGTTGGTGCATATGCCTATGAAGAAAAACATAGGAATGAGAGTCATAACATTAACTTTATAATGGAGTCTGATGAAGGTACATTTGCCCCACTCGGCTTAGCCGTGGCAGGTACCCAAGAAGCTCGGTGTATAGTGGCTGAAATTTTGAAATTATTCAAATCCATCAATGCTTCAACATTAGTTGAAGACGATAGTCCCGGATCTGATATAACTGTTATAACTAATAAAGGAGTCCCAGGTGCAAGCCTTCATAATGCAAATGAACGATATTTTTGGTTCCACCACACTGAAGGGGACACCATGAACGTTGAGAGTCCTGAAGAACTAGATTTATGTGCTGCCTTTTGGACTGCTGTGGCTTATATAATAGCTGATATTTCAGTGGACATACCTCGATAAGAATCATATTATTTAAGAATTTAAGAATAACCTGATTTACTCCATTATTGTCAAAAATTTACTCAATTTGCTGTAACAAAAATTTTACATAGAACAATACTATATATAATCACAAATATTATAGATAATCCTCTAATAATTATTGTTAAATCATAATTGTTATGGCTCTTGATTTTATAGTTTCCACGTTATGTCGAAGCTAGTATTGTTGCTAGTATTTAGAATGGATTTTTATTTTGTAAATTTTGTTTATAGTATTTATTATAGAATATTATCAAGTGGATATGCAAACCCAACCCAAATAATGGACCAAGTTATAATTACAAGTATAATAAAATATTTTAAATCACTCACGATTTTTGTTCTTGCTATAACTTAGGATATAAAAAAAATGTATTATTAATTGGCATTAATTTGATCGATTAGCATTCTAGTACTATTTAGTATGTTTTTAATATATAAAAATTGTTAGAAATGATTAATTGTCCCCACTAATTTATGATAAATTTTAAAAGAATACTTATATTATTATATTAGGGAAATTCATGCTTATTGTTTTATTTCAGGTCTAAATTTTTCTTGTCCCAAATTTTTGATAAATAATTTATCTAAATGTATTGTACCATTATATTTAGGCGTACAAGAAATCAACAGTTCCTACAAATATGTTTTATACAACACCACCACCTGGTAAAACTAGTCTATCTATCTATAATCTATACCTATAATAAAATTGTGACATCTTATGTATTGTAAAATCTTATTGAAATAATAATATATACTCTATAGTTTTTGGAATTTTTGTCTGCCTGTCTGTCTGTCTTTACCGCATCACAGAAAAACCACTGCAGGGATATTGATGAAATTTGGTATGGTCATAACTGGTTATCCGGGTCAACTTATAGGATACTTTTTACCGCGGGAAAATATCTCATTTCTGAGAAAAAATACAAAAACTGCAACGTAAGAGTATACTAATATTTAAAAACTAAGAATTTGGTTTTTGGTCATCTGAACTCCGGCGGAGCCGCGGGAAATGCTAGTACATATAATAAAATTTTAACTGAGTTGAATCTGTACATTAAATATTTCTTGGAAAATCTTATTGAAATAGTCATTATTATCGTTAAAGTGACCGAATCTATACTTTTCAGACTTTTGTCTGTCTGTCTGTATACGCATTGCGAGAAAACCACTGGACAGATTTTGATGAAATTTGGTGTGACGATAGCTTCGCCTGCGTTCGATCTATAAAAAAACTATTTGACCTTCATGTTATACAGCGACTCACTCTCACTTCGCTCGTTCGTCGTTATGTATTTATTTAATATTGTTCATACAAAATTATTAAAATCGCGATTAAAAAATGGGGCGTAGAAGTCTGAAAAATACTTTACGACCTATTCTCATACCTACCAAATATACAAAAGAAACATTAAAATCGGTCGAGCCATTTCGGAGGAGTGCGACCACAAACACGTGACACGATATTTACAATTTATATTAGATTAAAAGTCATATAAATCTTTATGCTGTTTATAAAAGACGAAATCCTATGTATAAAATGTAATATAATTTTCAGGCAATCAATAAAGTACCAATATTTCTTATTAATTCTGATTAACAACCATTCAGTGTTTTATCATCAAAATCATTATAGGCTCCTAATTATAGTCGGTCGACCCATATTACTTATTCAAGATTCATCTCTAACTAGGTGTGATGGTAACCAAGTATTTCAAACTCAAATTTTCACTTTCGCGAACCTAACCACAATCGTTTATATCAAGAATTCTAATATCAATGGCTTAAATTCCTACTCGGTTTTGCGATGTACATTGTGCGTAATAAGTGCTCCTTTAATCGTGCTCGTCACGATGAGATTGTCAAGCTTTAATATCATCTATATAATATGCTAAGGACTTATCCTTGCTTTGCTCGTATACGTCCTTAGTTACTTATTGTATTTATTTAAATCTATACTAATATTATAAAGAATCAAAGTTTGTGAGTTTATGAGGTTGTAGGGGGTAATCTCTGGATCTACTAAACTGATTTAGTTGACATTTAGTAAGAAGATAGTTTGAGACCCTGGAAAGGACATAGGATAATTTTTATCCCGGAAATTATTCCTTAAGGGGGTGAAAATGGGGATGAAAGTTTGTATGGGGAATCAACCTATTATATACAGGCACCACTTTTAATTTTTAGTAAAGTGTTCACCTTATTTTATTAGCGTCCAGAAATCCAGCGGGCGGGAAGCCACTAGATAAACTGGTATGTCGCCCACTTTACGGTAACGTTCCATGCGATTTGCTCCTGGTACTTCTCTGATGGCAGAGTGGATCGTAGGAGCAACCCTTTGGTTGTTGTGGTTGTTACTTCCGCAGACCTGCCGTCGGGGTATCGTGATAATAAAATCTGTTAGGTTTTAGTGGGTAGTACTTGCTTTTCTAGCGGGTGTATGTATACAAGTGGTATGCGTAAATGAATTTCCCAACATAAAAAAAGGTCAGGGTATATTTATCGAATAAATTTTATGGTCACTTAATAATTGCAATGTTCACGGCAGAACAAGATTTTTGAACCACAATGTTATATTATATGACATCGAAAACATTTATTAATATCTAGCGACTTAACTTCGCTTTGCTCGGGGGCGTCTCTAAAAGCCTAATAATAGCCTTGTCATAGTCTATATTTTGTATACTAAACTTCATCCAAATCCGTCCAGCCGCTATTGTGTAACACACACAAGTATAGTATTCCTATTATTAATGATTAGCGTACAGTTAATAGTTATACGATATAATAATATATAATTTGTTGCTATTATTATGAATTATTTTTTGCAAAGGTAAAAAAGCGCACTATCTTTTATAAAATCCATTAAAAACACAAAATAGGGAGGTTGTGATAACTCTACCCATACACCATTGTTGAGTCTGTATACAGAAATTCGAGGACAACGTACACATTTAGAGCTTCGTTTGACTTCATGATTAGTTCTCTAGCACTCGGTCCCTCTTATTCTTTTAGCCTGAGAGCTTTTATAAGGTATATAGAAGCCTTAAGCATTAGTGCTATTAATAATAATACTTATCAAACGAAAGGTAGCTAACATGTTGTTATAGAGCAAGACCTTTAAACTTAGAGAACAAAAAAATGCTATTGATTTTTAGCAAGTTGAGGCTTCTATATATTTAATATGCGTATGTATATATATTGTATATCAAATTAAGATTAACAGTTCAAGTTTTATTACGAATTCATGGAAAGAAAACGTGAGAGTGAGAATATGTTACATAATTGGGTTTTGAAACGAGCCCTTTTGTCGACGCTCGTGGTGCTGCCGACGTTTGATAAGAAGTTGAATCGTAAGTTCATATTGATATTGCTCTTGAATATGTTTTATTTTACAGGCAATGTTATAAATAAAAGAACAAAGGCCTTTTAAATATTATTTGTAATCGTTTATAAAAGCTCTTAGAATGTAAATTATCATGAATTTTTGTCGATCTAAGATGCAGAGATTAATCATCCCGTTGAAAAATCATAAGGAGGTTGGAAAGTGTAATATACGGATTACTGATGCTACTTTTTTGAATTTCTCAGACAGTGAGTGTTTGTCTGTTTGATTGACGACGTGTATGTATGTTTGGATACAATTTTTATAATTTTAAAAGTGACTCAGTAACCACATGCTCATTTATATTATAGTGACTCAAATTTCTTTTTCACCCTATAATTACAGGCATGGATTACCGCTCTAATTTTTCGCCACCAGTAATTTGGTTTCGCCATTGTCTAGCAGTTTATTTAAGATATATCTAGCTAACTATTAAGTGTTAACTATATAGTACCAACAGTTTTCGAGTAAAATGGCCGTGACATAACAAAATAACAGGATATCTAGAGTATTGGAATTATAGGACTGGAAATAAAATACCAACTTCTTGAAAATATGATGTATACCACTTTTATAAAACGAAATATTTTGTTGTCAATCATAACTAACTTGACTTCTATACATTTTTATCGAATCGGCAGAACAATCAATATACATATGTACAAAACTGAGTGTTTCCGCACAAGTGTTACACATAATTAAGATAATTGAAACGCACATTATACTTCTTAATTATATCTTTTCCTTCGTATAATCAATTTCAGTTCATATTTTCACACTTTCCGTTTTCTATTTCGTAACAATATCGACAGTGTTAGTATTATGGTGTCCATTTCCTACGCTTATGCATCCTGACTCGGAGCATAGATTTGATCTTCTTAAAGCCATCTGCTTTGAGAAGCTCAAATCTTCAAGCTCTTCTGAACTGTGCCTGAAAATGACAAAAATAATTCTTAATAAATAGCGTAAATATTTGCATTATACATAAGTCGTTTAAAGGGGAAAGACAAAGTAGATAAATAATAAATAACAGATTTTAACAGCAGAAAAATTTGAACTTGGATATTTAAAAATCGACCGCTATAATAAAATTTTTAAACTAAATGTGTTTAACAAGATATTAAAATAAACAAATCAACAATGGAGGTATTTTTGAGGAGTAGAATCTCCATAGAATTTTTTGACTACAATGAGAATTTCAGGTTTCGACGTTGGTTCTATGTGCATTCCTGAGTGCTGCCAGCTCTCAATAAGGGGTATGATACTTGGCAAAGACTTCCGAGATAAAAAATATTTTGAACTACGTTTCTTGAAATAAAAAAAAGATTGAAAAAAATTGAAAATTATATTTTATTTATAAGCTACTAAATCTTAACCTTACCATTTCCAACTAGGTCTTCTAGTAACGCTACCACGCCTGTCACCGCTCATATCTCTACCGCTGGAGCCGCTACCGCGGTGGCTATTGATCCAAGGCCTACCGGCACCAATCCCACCTGCGCCGTAACTGCCACTACCATATCCGACACCAGATCCATACATATGTCCTTCGTAACTATATATTAACATTATATTTATTTCTAATAACATAATATACTATATTTTAAAACAATTCACAAATTATTTTATGTAAGGGTGAATGACGACCGTAGGCCATTACACAGATTCAAAGATTATTTTTTATGCAACTGAAGTGCAATAGTGTATGTACATATCATCATATCATAAGGGATTATGGGATAAATTTCTAAAAATGCTAAAACACGTATTTATTTAATTTTACTGAAGAGCATTAATACCAAGTTTCAAGTAATTCTGATCATAGTTTTTTTGGATTGTATTATAACGTGTTTTCCTGTGGGAAACAGATAATCTCCCGCGATTAAAAGTAGCCTATGTCACTTTCCAGCTCTCTAACTATCTCCGTACAAAAAATCACGCCAATCGGCCAAGCCGTTTTGACGTGAAAGAAAGAAAGACGACATCAAACGAACAAACAAACAATCAAACATACAAACAAACAAACAATCAAACACACTTTCACATTTATAATATTAGTATGGATTTCAGATAACATCATCTGTACATAAAATAAAATTCTAACTAAGCCGAATCTGTACATTAAATATTTTTTGGAAAATCTTATTATCGATACAGAGGCCGAATCTATAGTTTTTAGAATTTTTGTCTATCTGTCTGATTGTCTGTTACCGCATCACAGAAAAACCATTTGAGGGATTTTGATAAAATTTAGTATGGTGATAGCTGGTTATCCGTGTCAACATATAGGATACTTTTTACCGCGGGAAAATATCTCATTTCTGAGGAAAAATACAAAACTTCATTTGATCATCTGAACGCGGGCGGAGCCGCGGGCAATGCTAGTATTATATAATTTATTACCTGTCATAGTCGTAGGAGCCTGAACCATGCGTCCTAAAATAATAAATTTCACTTAATCCTCTGCACTTACAAAATATAACATTAATATAAAGAACTATAAGAAACACATTTTATGATTACCACTGAAAGTACGTACCTAGGCTTAGCTTCAATAATTGTAAACAAGGCAATAACGCAGAGAGCGACGAACCACGCGTCTTTCATTTTAAACTTTTCTTAAACAACTTGCAAAGCTAAATTGTCAAGAAGTGATAAAACATACCGATTAAAATGTCTTTTTATACACAGAAGAGTAAAGGTCAAAATGATAACGGCAAAGAGATCAAAATTCCCACCACGTCATTATAATATCTATAGATATACTATACATATAATAAAATTGTAACTAAGAAGAATCTGTACATTAAATATTTTTTGGAAGATCTAATTGAAATAGACATTATTATTGATACAGAGTCCGAATCTATAGTTTTTAGAATTTTTGTATGTCTGTCTGTTTGTCTGTTACCGCATCACGAGAAAACCACTGGACAGATTTTGATGAAATTTGGTATGATAATAGCTGGTTATCCGGTCAACATATAGGATACTTTTAACCGCGGGAAAATATTTTATTTCTGTAAAAAAATACATAAACTGAATTGTAAGAGTATTCTATTATGTAAAAGCTAAGAATTTGGTTTTTGGCCATCTGAACGCGGGCGGAGCCGCGGGCAATGCTAGTTATAGACATAAATATAAAGTACCTATATTATCATTTGTACATATATCTCAGCATATTTGTATATCTAAGTATTTAAAGTTTAAGTGTTTAAGGGAAAGCTAGAAAATGGAATAATTGAACTGAGCTTTGGTGGGGCTTTCTTAATTACATACTGTAATCGGATATATCACCGAGCTTTAATTTAACATATAGGATTGTTGTTAGTAAAAATTTAATCTACACAAAAATCTCCATATTAATAATGATAAACTAAGGGTTTGTACACACCATGTTTTATAAACAAATGATCACTTGCATTCGTAGTGATACAACGCGCGCGTAGATAGCGCTTTAAAAAATTGTCGTATGAATAGGCCCTAAAGCATAATATGTGCACAAAAATCTAACTTTAAATCTGATATTCCTTGTAATATTCTGTAATCTATAATATAAATATCGACCCAATTTGATTTTCTGCTCTAGAACCAAAACTCTTAACAATATTTTAACTTAATGAGCGTAATTTAAAAAATAATACGCAATATAGTCACTCTGAGTCATTTGAATTCGTGTTCAATATATTAAAATTATAACATATACATACATACTACTCGTATTGCCAGTTAATACGTATAATGTGATAAAATTTGTTCTTTGACTATTCATTTCCGGTGTTTATCGATGTTCCGAATACTTTACATCACATGGTACCTGGAGAGAAGACGACAAAATAAATATATGTATATAAAAAGTATCATGAGAACAGATTTCATACAAAATATAATTATTAATATAAATATAATGTAAATGTATTAAATTATATTTGCGACTCTTTATTAACTATGATTATGTAATTATAACTAAAAAATTAATTATTTTCTATTCATATGATTATTATTTTATTCAATGTTAATTTTTTTTATTGTAATTAATTTGCTCGCATTATTCTATGTACTATTTAATTGTGGAAACTTTATTTATGTTTTGTTTTTAATTTGTATCAATTTGTACTGTTTGTTTCCCAAATAAATAAAAATAAAAAAAATAAAAAATTAAAAATAATTATGACTACAGTCAATTGAGTTATCTACTACGAGTAGGGGTTTTCCCAAGCAATATTCATAATGCTACATATCGAGCTCTACGTTGATAAATATAATTACAATAACATAAAAACCCATTCGTTTTTCTTTCGCTTAACTTTATCATACTATTAACCTAAGCTTTTGATTATCGAACAATCCTAATCATAAGTCTCAAGCATACGGTTTTCGATTCTTAACTTAAATACTAACAGGGAATTCACCTGTGTAAGTTAAGCCAATTGACCTAAGTAAAGTGTACTTTATGACCTACTAGCGGCTCACGTAGAAAAACTAAAACAAATCTATCCCTCGGGAACCGTATATTTTTTCCAAGATAACAGTAGCCTATGTGTTATTCCAGACTATAATCTATCTCTGTGCCAAATTTCATCCAGATCCGTTCAGCCGTTCTGGCATGAACGTTAAAGAGTAACAAACATCCATACATACTCAAAAACTTTCACATTTATAATATTTCTATAGATTGTTAACTTACATATGTAGGTGTATGTTTAAATGTTTTAAATGATTATATTATAGGAACAGCACATTCTACTTTTTTAATAAGTAATAATGTTCTCCTAATCGATTTAAATTACGGCGATTAATCTCGCTGAGATTAATTGCACAGGACATTTTTTTTGTACATTGTACGTGTTATACATGTATCTGCCAATAAATTAAAACAAATATGTCAGGACATTAACACACAACGCCATCTAGTTCCATGGTAAGCTACGAGGTTTGTGTTAATTGGATACCAGATAGCTGATACATTATACATATATAACTTTAAATACATACATATTATAAATATAAACACCCATGACTGGAGTACAAACATTCGTGCTCATCACATAAACGAATGCCCCAGCGGGACTCGAACCCGCGACCGCTGGCGAAGCAAGTAAACGTGTCGTCAAATTGCTATAATATTAATTGTTAATGATTTGTTACTTTATTATTAAAATATGGCCTACTTTATAAATTATTTTTGTACATATGTTATTTATGCCTATGTGTTACTTTCAGGTGAGTTATAAATTATAATCTATCTCTAAACCAAATTTCAATTAAAATCTAGCCAGCCGTGTCAGCGTGAAGGACTCAACATACATACATACACATTGCACATGTACATATGTACAAACTTTCATATATACAATGCCTCGGCCATACACATTACGATAACGCGAATATTTGGGTATATATAAAATTAATATTAGAATTTCTAAGATTTAGTCTTCGATCATCCCTAAAAGAAACAGCGAAACCCTTATGTATTATTTACATATTTTACGTGTATATACATATTTTCATCAGTCAAACTCTATTCCAACTTATTTACTTGACAGATCTAATTGAGTTTATTTATATTTTGATCTAATTTAGTATGAATAGCATAGAGTTAGGTGACACAAGAAAGACATATTAGCACAAATAATTTTCATTTCGTGGTTTCAATTTTATAGGTCGGTATTTGAGATCTGCTGATGAGATCTTCTGAACGATGAGTTGAAATATATTTAATTTAAAAAATAGTATATAACCCAAAATGATTCTTTAAATTAACATATGAACCGATTAGAATAAAACAAATACTAAATGTTAAGTGAAGCTTACCACAATACATAAGTGAAATCACCACCTAAATGGGTTAAGCCGTTTCTGAGATTAGCGCGCATAAACACACAGACAAACAAACAGACAAAAATTCTAAAAATCACTGTTTTGGTTTCTATTGCGTTAATAAAGATACCCTATAATAGTTTTTCTCAAATATCTTAAATGTACAGACATCGATCAGTTACACTTTTATTATATATATAGATTAATATTCTGATATAGTATAATGTTGAGCAACATAAAATATATATATATATATATATATATATATATATATATATATATATATATATATATATATATATATATATATATATATATATTTACTTAGTTTTCTGAAACAATTCACTTTCGAAATAAGTACAAAGGATTGAAAGTATATAGTATACAAAATAGTTCATAATATATATCATTTTTTTTTAACTAAAATAATTGTAAATGTGAAATTGCCGAAATATTAAAACTTGATTTATGACTAAACTAGTAAAGCTTGTGTTAATTCATATCTGAATAAAAAAGTGGTTTTCAGAAGTGGTATATTTGTGTTACGTTTTTAGCAAAAAACATGACCTCTGTATAGAAAAGCTGTTGAAACTTCTATCACGACTCGACTCATGCTTATATAGTTTTCAACCGATTTCTTCAAAAAGAAGGAGGTTCTCAATTCGGCTGTATACTTACGACTGTGTATATTGTGAAAAACTTCAAAAAATAAAATAAAAACCGACTTCAAAAAAAAAAAAAAAAAAAACAAACAAAAAAAAATAACTGATTGGTAGTTTTCATTTAATATAGATACCTGATCAGATATTTTCGAAGTCGATGTGCTTTGATTTGTATCGGCTGGCACGGACTTCGAAAATATCTGATTAGGTATCTATATTTAATAAAAACTACCAATCAGTTATTTTTTTACTTTTTAGTGTTTCTTTGATGTCGGTTTTTTTAAGTTTTTTACTATGTAAGTTTTAAGATTTATACTATATCTAATCACTTCAAGTTAATTTTTAAGTTGAAGCGGCGTCCCTCATATGTTTTTCCTTTTTATAATTTGTTAGGAAATCCACTTTTATATCTCTTATTCTGAGAAATTTTCAGAGCTTATTAAGAAGTGTAGAGGTTCCTGAAAAGTATGTCAGACAAATAGACTAACGAATCTATACGTAGTTTTCGATATAAACTTTTAGATATGGAACTGTAGAAATAAGGACCTGGTTTGAAATCTAGATGAATAAAGAGTATGACGAAAAAGCGATACTTGGAACACTTGTTGAATAAATATTTTTAAGAACTTTATTTTCGAAATAAAGATTTACGTATTTTTTACGTACTGTAAAATGTAACAGCTATTATAGGCGTTATATATATGCCCGATTTCACCAACGTCACCTAAGTTTAAGGGATCCCCTAAGCATGGTTAGGGGGCTGTTAGGGGACAGTTTCTGTTTCACCAACAGTTAGGGGTCACCTAAATGTTAAAAGGCCCCCTAAATGTAGGTGCTCGAAATATAGGCTTAAAAACGATGTTAAAACGAAATTTACTTTAGGGGCTAGTTTAGGGGAATTTTAAGCTAGGGATCCCATACGTAGGTTGGTAGCTTATGGGTTGTTGGTGAAATCGGGCAATAGTCACGTTTTATCACTAATAGTGATACTACTGTGGTTAATGACGTTTCATGCTTCAGAAGAATTCATGTTTACACTAACATTATAAAAGATATTGTTCTCTAGAATCAATCAACCAATTCTCAAAATACTGTCACTGAGAGGATTATATTATCTATCCCTTTAGGCTACTTTTCATACCAGTATATATATTAAATTACCCAAATGAAATATCACAAACAGTTATTGGTGGCCATATCCATGGTGATCTAAGAATAAAGTTAGATAAATTTCTAGGGTTTTCTCTAGGGTTCTATATAAATTTCTGCATAGTTCCCATTACTTTTCATTCTTGCCGCTTGCTAACAATAATATGTTAAAGTTATTATAATTATATATAGTGTGTACTTTCTTAGATTTACGCGAATATTTAATTTTTTTCGCGCATTATTTTTATTTTTGGTTCCCGACGTTGCAAATGCTCTACAATAAATATGGTCAGAGATTAAGGTTGTAGACATTTCAAACGTTATCATAATGTCATTAAATACTATACTCGTATATACCCACAAATTATACCTACAATATATTTAAAGAAACATCGGGAACTAAAAATCGAAATAAATCAGCGAAGCAATCCGAAAACATAGTTTTATTTAGTTGTATTTTTATGATGGTGTAATTTAGGTTTAAATTGGTTTTAAAAGAAATCTTACCCAATTTTTTAATTTAGAGCCTTTGCTTTTTGTGTTTCAAATAGATACTTCAAAGAAGTGTAAATAAAAATATATTTATTAACTCATGCGTGACTCGAGCTAATACTAAAGTATACATATAAATATGTTATGTATTAAATAAATACTCAAATGTAGCAAATGGTAATTTATACGATATCAAAAACATCATAAACTAAATAACGAAAAAAAATATTATACAAGCGTCTGTATTTACATTTACCTTAACAAGATTGTTCAAAACCGAAGTTTGCCGGCTCTAAGTGGATGGGTAAATATTATTTTTATCGGGTTTCGTAATGTCGCTGACAACAGTCACTGGCATTGAATAAGAAAAAGAAGAAAACTAACTAAAGATAGAATTTTCACATCATAATATGACTAAATATATAATATCCATATATAATGAAGTAACCGCTTTCTAAGATCTTACATCTCTTTATCAAGAATCTTAAACTGCATATATTTTCTTACAAACTTAAGAAATACTTTAAAGATTTCTATAAAATAGGTAAACCTATTACAAATAATGTCTGAATTTAGCCAATATACGAGATTACGTCCATCATAGAAAAGCACATTCATTGTTAAAAGTTCTACAAAGTCATTCTAATACTTTCTATAGTCAATGAATAACACTCGCTTGGAGAAGCTTTTAAAGCTTTCAGTAGTCACCACGCGGCCGCGGCACTAGACGCACGTCCCGTCATCCTCTCGCGAATAAATACGAAAACTATACACCATACTTGACTACTATGCTATGTGACTCTGATATTAAAACAGTATTATCAATATCTCGAAGGTAATTTAAGCTTTTAAGTAAAATTGTAGCTTTTTAGGGAACTAGCGTGTTTTTTTTATTTGGTTTTTTAGTATATAAATATGACATTAAATTAACTTAAAAGTCAAGTAAGTAAGTAAAGATAAATAACAATAATTACTTGTAAATAATACAAAATATCTAAAATATATTTTGGTTTTAAAGTCTTAATTTGGCCATTAGAATTTTTTTGACATAATTAGTAAGGTGCTACCTGAAAAGTTACTAACCATAATAGTATCATATTACTTTTATTGCTATTTTTGTTATTTTGCCAAATGTGTTTAATAATAATATTAAATGTAAAAACCTCAACTTCAAAAACATTTTTATATTATTATAAATAATATTATAAAAAGTTGATAATTTATATAGTAAAAATTAAACCCATTATTATGTAAGATAAAAAATTCTATCCAATAAATTGTAATATGTACAATGTATATATGTATAGAAGTGCCATCTTTTTGCGTAATACAAATAGAACGAGAAAATTTTTAATCGTGTAATATCTAGTGTAAACATTTAAGTTGGTTAAGTTAATTTAGAAAAATATTTCTCTTAAAAATTCCAGTCAGATCTAAAATAAATGATGGTATTTTCATTAAAATTATAAGAATGTTTAGTGTTAGTTTAACTTTCTATTTAAGAACATATTTTTTCTCTCGTTTTTAGATTCTACTAATTATAAAATTTATCGGTATATAATATACTAGCGACTCATCCTCGCTACGATTCGGATTCGTCCCTAGACAAAAACAAATCTATCCCACGGGATCCTTACATTTTTTTGGGATAAAAAATATAAGTGCTATTCCAGACTATAATCTATGTCTTTGCTAAATTTCATCAAGATCCTTTCAGCCGTTCTGACTTCAAGTGGTAACAGACATCCATCCATCCTCACAAACTTTTACATTTATAATATTAGTATGGGTTATTTCTATTAAAAAATTTTTCCTCCCTTGGCACTCTATCAAAATTAATGCTAGAGACATTATTTTTATGTTCGATAGCTAACAGCTAATATTAAAAAAATAAAACTATTATTTTCGTTAAAATTCACTGTATTATATCAGAATTCGGTGACTGGTTACGTTTTGCGTGAAATATCCGCACGGGCCAATAGTAATTTATATAGGGATAATTTAGTTATTTTATCATTAGTTTAAAATCGATGTTATCTATAAAAATTATTTCATATGTGAAAATTGTATCTCCTAAGTACCGATGGAATGAAAAAAATCATCGCAACCAGAGGACTCGTGCTCCTCCGCAGTAAGATGTATGTTCGTACTTAGCTTTCTTCGAACACAACGAATTTAAGTTACCAAAAGCTCAAATGAAATAGCTCATCCTAGCGAGTTTTCTGAGACCAAAATGACCTACGTATCTCAATTAAAACTGGAGATATAGAGGAAGAAAACTATGAAAACATACGGGTGAAAAGATTATTTTCAATACTTTATGTACTTGATGAAATATGTGTATCAATACCTTTCATTTAAAAAAAAATCAGTAAATCGGTTGAACAGAACGGCCGGACGACCTCGTAAAATATTTAATTTTGTTTTAATATATAGATTACATATTTGTAGATTCGTAACAAGTGTAATATACTAAAATACCAAATCTACAAAATTCTCTTATAATATCAAACTATACCGAGTTATTCACGATATTACTAGCTGTTCGATTTCATTTGCTCGGACAAACCGATGGTAAATTATAAAGGTAAAAAAGCTTTATGACTTTTTTGTTATGTGAAAGTTCGTAAAAATAACTTTTATAAAAACTTTTATCCCCTACCTCCGCTACCAACGCTTGAGTTTTATGGGCCACAAATTTCGCTAAATCTAAAGAATAAAAACTGTCTCAAATTGTAACCTAGATATAAAAAAACTTTATCACTTATTAATACTTTATGTAGATTTTTTTGTATCATTTTGCACTAACCAAGGATCTTGAATTTGAAACCTATCTCTAACTTAAACGTTGCTAGGTTAGCAACCGACCAACTAGAGTATGATAATTCATAGTGTGTGGTTACGTGTGTATGTAAGTTATGTGCTTTCCCTACTTTCTCTCCAGTCGTTGTTCGATTGCGTATGACACCATCGGGCTAAGCTCATTTCCCATATAGTAGTGTAATCTCAATTACTAAAAAATTGGCCAAGAAAAAATAATCAGGAACAAGCAGCTTCTTTACAGTAACTACTGATACTTTATTTACTTTATATAAAATTGACTCTGAATGACTCTTGAGAATTATTCTATAATAAATATTATATTATAGTATTGTTATTATTGGCAGATGAAAGCGTGGACAGCCCACGACCAAGACACAACATTGTCTTGCTGCAGAACACTGCACGTCAAACACGCAGCTTACGCAAGTGCCCTCTATACTTTGGTAAGTGAAATCTTAAATTTTAATTTAATTTTAAAATGCCACTAATTAAAATGGCATTAAAACATATTCTTATTGACTAGCGACTCAACCTCGTTTCGCTCGGGTTCGTCCCTAGCTTGCTTCCCATTACAAACTTTCATCCCCATTTTCACCCCCTTAAGGGATGATTTCCGAAATAAAAAGTATTCTATATCCTTCGTAAGGTCTCAAACTATCTTCTTACCCAATTTCATCTAAATCGGTTGAGTAGATCCAGAGATTACCCCCTACAATGTCATAAACTCACAAATTCACAAACTCACAAACTTTACCTTTTTATAATATTAGTATAGATTAGATACTTTTTTAGAAAATTTCTTAGATACTAATAAATAATTTGTAGGCTTTTGTTTTGATAGATAATAAAACTGGTTAATGTTAAGCTGACAATTATCAGCAATATAGTAATTACCTATAATTGCTATTGCAAATAAATTATTTTTATTATATAAGTATGTACATATACTGTGTAGGTATCGCTTAAGACACTGAATGTGTATAAGTTTCATGTGTACTTAGCAAATTAACCCCAAAAGTTCTCTTACAATGAAATACCTTCTCACGTGTTGAAATAACCGCTCTACGTGTCTATTAAAACTAATATTCAAATATGTATTTCAAATGAAACCATATCCATTTAATATTTACCAAAAATCACATGTCTAATATAGCGGCTATTTTGATTCGATACTGCTTTAAGAAACGAAAAATTCCTTTCATTTTAAGTTTGAAAAATGATCGCCTTAAAATATAGGACTTGTTTACAAACATTTTCAATACAGCAAGAGAAAGTTTGCCCATTAGAAGACCGTCTGAATTCGAAGCAAACACAACTTATTAAAACAAACAACATTGTGGTAATACTAATATAAGTATATATAACTTTTTCGATTACCGTTCTGAAATAGCCAAATGCATAGTATAATCTTACAATATGACAGTATCAAGATAACGAAATTAAGTTCCAAGATCAAACTCGGGTATCAAAAGTTTGAGATTTTCAAACTTTACCACTAAAAGTCATTACGTGAACGGATGTGCCTACATTTAATTTAATTTACGTCCCAGATTTGTAAATTCTTTAGACACAATGCTCTTATTCAGTGGAAAATTTATGAATGGGACACACCCAAAACTTTATTTCTAGTTAACAGAATTCAATTTTAGTTTTATTACCAATTTACGTTACCTAGAGAACAATGCTAACAACCACTATATTAGAACGAAATTATAGCTAAACAATTTATATATATTTCATCACACTAATATTTTCTTTGTGCTATGTATGTTTGTGTGTTCTTCTCGATGAATTTTAGTACAGAGATAGACTAAGACCTGGAATGACACATATGCCACTATTAATAATAAAATTTGAGAGAAGAATCTATACTAATATTATAATATTATAACTAATATTATAGTTTGTGACGTTGTAGGGAGTAATCTCTGGATCTACTGAACCGATTTTGATGTAATTTGGTAAGAAGATAGTTTGAGACCCTGGGAAGGACATAGGATACTCTTTATCCCAGAAATCATCCCTTAAGGGGGTGAAAATGGGGATGAAAGTTTGTATGGAGAATCAAGCTAGGGACGAACCCGAGCGTAGCGAGAGTGTCGCTAGTAATATTATACATTCAAAAGGCAGGAGTCAAGGTTAGTAGTAATAGCTTGTAGGATATTACTCTTTTTCTCTAAACTAATCCTGATATTTATGATACGATTACGATGATTACGATGATATTATGATCACGATGTAAAAAGCCTTATCGTAATGGCATCGTAATGGTATATGGCATCTCTTAAAACACCAGGCAGCCACTTCTTATAAATATAGTAACAGTTTATCGGTAAACAACATTAATATTAAAAGTTTTTTTTTTATATTTTGATTCATTATTATAGAAGTAATATTAAATTAAATAGTTAGTATTATATTTATATATTTCCTAAAGAGTATTATGTAGTCCGAGACATACATACACGTAGCACGACTCGCAGAATAGAATATCAATGTATGTGCATTGTACAATGTACATTAAACAGATAAATAAAATTGAAGTGTATGTTTGTAATGTCAAAATAACAGTATTTTACTAAATGCATATGAAATTATATACGGTACTTAAAAGAAAAACACTTTTTTTTTTAATTTTTGTCTGTCTAACTGTCTGTTTGTTCCGGATAATCTCTGAAACGGCTGGACTGATTTTGACGGGACATTCACTGGAAGAAAGCTGATGTTATAAGGAGTAACATAGGCTACTTTTATTATAGAAAAAGAATAAGTGTTCCGCTCAAAAAAATTAAAACTTAGTACAATATGTCGCTGTCGCTAGTATACAATATGTCTCTGACTGCATATTACTATGTTTCTTCTTCAACTTGTTCCCACCATTTTAGTTTTTTTTATTAATTTATTTGTTTACATTTATCTTTTTTTATAGTTGTTTTTTTTTTATATTAATATCAACTAAGTCTGATAACTATTACCTTTCACATATTATGTACTACGACTCAAGAGAGGATAGATGTATGAACTTAATTTTTAAACGACTTCCAAAAAGGAGGAGAATCTCAATTCGTTGGAATCTTTTTTTATATATGTTCATCGATTACTCAAAGACGACTGAACCAATTTGATTTTTTTTTGTTTCAAAGAGCATACTTCCCAGGTGGTCCCATATAAATTTTATCGAAATCGGTCTAGCGGTTTTAAAAAAAATCAGCAATAAATATTTTTCTTAAATAAATTGTTTAATTGAATATGTTATTGAAAAACTTTCTTCTAACAAATTACCTGCTTATTACGTCTACACTAAAAATAGAAAAATAAAAACTTTAAACAAATAAACAAAAACCGACTTCCAGGCACTAAAATGTAAAAAATAACTAAACGGAGGTTTTCATTTCGAATAGATAATTAATCAGATATTTTCGAAGTCGGTGCCAGCCTACAATATTTTAAGATATGAATATCTAATAGATAAATATGTATTTTACGTATCGAAATACATTAGATTTGCTTTGCGTCGGTTGGCACTGACTTAGAAAATATCTCATTAGGTATGTCTTCTAAATGAAAACCGCCGTTTAGTTATTTTTTACATTTTAATGCCTGGAAGTCGATTTTTATTAAATTTTTTTAAGTTTTTATATACGATTAGAGTTCCACCCTGACCTTTGACCAAGTGCGTAAAACCTACAAGACTACATTTTTATGAGATTTATTTTTATACTTGTACATACATATGTTACTAGTTTTGAGTAATGTGTATTTAGTTCTTTACACAGTAATGACTTAACGGATTTAAGTAAAACTCAGAATAAATATAACCTGGTGGCTTAGAAAAGATCTCATTCAACAATCGGTTGAGAATTATAGACGTTTAAAAAAAATATTCAAGAATGATCTTACAATTTCATCATGATTTTTATCATTAAAATTTTATTTTTATACATCAACGATCGTAGAATGGCATATTGTCTAAACCTATCGAATAAGCACCCTTTCCTGTACCTAAAACGCTTTATTCCTGTACTTAAAACGCAAGCAGATTCGCGAATAAAAACTACGTTCCATTTAGAATAAAAACATATACATTTGAATGTTACTATAAACCATTCAATATTTAGATCTTTAATTAAACATTACATTTATAAAAATATTGTTAATACTCTTAATATACCAATATAAAATGGGTTTGTGATATTTTTCATTAATTCAGTGGTAGAGAACAAGTTGGCGTAACTATTTATGACAATATCATTTATGTGAAATGGAACGTAAACCATTTTTTAAAGAAATGGTAGAAACGAGTAAAAATATTCTATTTTAAAACAATATATATAAACTTTTTCTACATTTTAAATTAAAATATCTGTCGTGAATATTGAAATAATATTTTTTCATTACTTCTTTTCAGTGAGATAATGTAGATTTCATGCTATTTACTGTGAAACTTTGTAATACCGATATAACGATAAACGATATACGTATGCAAAGTTGATGTAGCCGCGTACATCAGTATAGTATTAAAACTGTAACGTATCACATTTGCTGTAGTTTATTTATAAATACTGGCTGTTGGCTAGCATAGACTAAACAATTCAAAATGATTCCCAAGGGAAAAATAAATGAGTATATGTTAATAGTACGTACAGAATATTATAAAATATTTTTGTACAAAAAACACAGAAAATTTTATAATATACGTATTGTATCTTTTCGGATATTTTCGCGGAGTTATTTTGACTTTTGGTTCCCGACATTTCGAATGCATTACAGCAACAATGGTAACGGGGGATAATTTTTAAGATATTACAAAGGCATTATATAGTGGTTACAGACAACCTATTCACAAAATTAAAAAAAAATGTTATTTTTTGTTATTGAAAAAATCCGAAAAGATAGTTTTATTTAAAATGTCAAATATTCGTGTAAATCTAAGAAAGTATTATGTAAATTACCCAATTACGATACTATAATGTTGTTTTTGCGTAACTATATCAGGAATGTTTATCTAAACATTATAAAATATAAAGTATTAAGCATACGAGTATTATTCATAAAACTGAAGTCTTTTGAAGATACACACAATGACAATTTTATATTTGCCAAATTTATTTAAGAAGTTAAAATCAAATTAATAATCTAGTACAAGCGACCCTAAAATTGGCTGTCCTTTGTTATTGAACCACAAATTTTATTTTTGATTGCGTACAAAAAGGACAAGTTAAGTTACACATCTTATTAAGCCTTTGAGCATTTTACAAATAAGGGCTAAGTGGGAGATAACAAATATTGCAATTCCACAAATGTTTCAATACAAAGAGAACTGAAAATGAAATTCTATTGGTTCTTTTTTCTTTTGATCTTTTGAATCATGCTCAATTGAATTCAGTTTGAACAAGCTTTTTTGGTCATTCAAAATAAAAGTGTTAGAAATATACTACGTTTCAAACATAGCGCCTATATAGCGAATCGAATATTTTTGAGTGGCTCGATATCTATAGAAGAATCAAAATAAGTTGTCCTTTAATCATTTATTTATATGATTAAAAGTATTTTGTTATAAATTAATATAATATAAATAACACCTCTAGGTAGATTTCTAAGAATTTAATTAAATTCTAAGAAATCTATTATATATTAACATTACATATTAACTAACACGCCAGCGTGTCCGCGGTCGTGGCGGGAATAATATACATTTTGTTGACATTTGATATTACGTTTTTTTTATTATTGTTATATATTAAGTTTTTTTAAGTTTATTAATTTTATTTACTGATTGACAACTATTGTGCCTACTATATAATCCGATTATAATCCCTGTTTGCATAAAAACATTGCCTCATATAACTTGCATGGTTGTATCTTAAGGCTCTACGGTATTTGCATACGACCTACATAATTAAACGCGCGATGAATATGTAAATAAGCCTTTATTGGGCATACGTCCTTCAACACCCCAACTTTTGTTTACCCGCATTCATTTATACACAAATACGCGTCATTGTCTTCCAAAGTTTACTTAGGGTGTACCCTACAATCTTGTTCTATTAAGTTAAAAAAATATCATGTAGTACATAACGTCGTCTCAATAGATTGCCCAAACGAAAAAATTATCGAGTGTAAGTATTTTTGTTTGTTTGTTGTTACAGACAGCCTACCCACAAATAACAAAATGAAAATTGCACCAATTACCTACCTTACAATATTTTTTAACTTTAAACATTTTTATAATTTTAATTAGTTTTATAATTGAATATGGAATATTATTTATTTATTATAAAACTAATTAAAATTATAAAAATGTTTAAAGTATTGGTAGTTTGAAAAATAAGGACTAAGGCGACGATTTATTATCTGTAGTTAAATTTTGTTTTTGAATTTATCATAATAATAATTATTACCCTGTTAAATTGTATATAGAATGTTAGAAATTTTCATTTCATTTTGTCCTGTGTACAGTGAGTAACGTATGGGTTTTTATTTAAGCAAATCTATGTCACAGTGCCTTCCAAATTATATACTTACATTCCTTGGATATTTCCCCTCAATTAAAGTATTACTTAGCTATAATAATATAATAATATAATAACAGTAAAGACACATACAACTGCATTTTTACGGGATAAAAAGTATCTAAAATGTAGACCGGGAATATAAGGTATCACCATGCAAAATTAATTAAATCGGTCCAACAGTTTCGGAGATTAGCCCGTAAAAACAGACAAACAGACAGAGAAATGAAAAAATTGAAACAAATCTGAATTTGTTCTATTTTTCTTCTTACATCTCCCTGACTCGGTTTTTAGCATTTTTTAACAGACATTTGACCTCTACAGTTTAATTATATGTATAGATTTGGAGCATTTCATAATTAAATTTTAATAGTTTTATGTAAATTGTATGTCTTGTTATCTGCTAGTATTTAATATACATACATATATTCGAGAATAAGTTTCTGCTTTCGTAACTTGGTAACTTTTAACTCATTCTACTTGAATGCATAAAACGAGATCGACTTTCCATTCCTTCCGATGCAGTAAGTTTCCCGATGCATTAGTTAAAAGTTAAAAGTTTTATAAAAACTCTTATAAAATAACACTAGCATAGTAACAGTTATTGAAGGACGCAAGGGTGTGGCAAGGGCGTAAGTGATTCGTGGGAGGGTCGCTATTCACATATAAATCAAACTTTACTCTCACTGTATAAGGGAATTACATTGCAACTATTCGATGTGAATGTTCTAAGAATCATATAATAATACATAGTATGATTAAAGAAAAATATAAATTAAAAATTAAAAAAAAAACCTCGAACATCTTGCACCGATTTTCATCAAACATAACTAAGAACACTCCCGACTAATTCACCTTTCAAACAAAAAAAACAACGTCAAAATCGGTTCATCCGTTCGGGAGCTACGATGCCACAGACAGACACACACAAACACGTCAAACTTATAACGCCCCGTCGTTAAAAATATGGTATAACTTCTATGGGTGTACCGAGTTCAACATTTCAATAATTAGCAATGGTTGCAGTCAGTCATTTTACATAATATACGTCTAGATAACTTTTAAGTTTTTAATTAACTTAAACGAGAATAATTTTACTCTATTCTTTAATGGTTATAAGGATTTCTACTTGAGTAACCTTTGTTTTATTTAATGTACCTGCATTTTTTACTTCTTCGCGCGGTATCGGCTGGATGGATTTGGATATAATTGAGTGTATAGATAGTATATGAGCCTATGGATAACTGGGATTAACCACCAAGGAAGTAGCCTAAAGGTAGCCTATGTTTCCAGGTCATAGTTTATCTATGTCACACAGGCATACAAACTTTCGCATTTATAATAGTATTTAGATTCTAAAGTAATGCAAAATACAGCAAAAACTATTTACAAAACCAAGCATAAGCTATTTTCTTCGTATATTATATGTGTATATATATAATATTATATTATATATGTAATATTTCATATATGTATCTAGGTAATTTTAATAATATTTTTTTTATAATAAATTAGCATAAGTTTAAACAGTGTTAGATATTAGTAGGTGTTAATAAAATAAAATTTAAATTGCTATGTTGTAACCAAATTCTAACACGCAAAAGAGTCAGAATGAAATGAAGGGAGCAAAGGAATCCTAATTGTGGATATTACTTTTTATGATTAAAACATTTTAATATAGCGCAACTGGAAAATCCTTTAATATTAGAAATACGAGTATAACCCTCGGCGGTATAGTAAGTACTAAGGTACATCATATAAATGGAGCCATCAAAAATAAGCTTTGTTTGTCCTTCACCCTCCTTATTTTTTACATTTTAAAAAGTTATTTCAAAATTAAACCTCATTTTTAAGACTCCGCAGTCAAAAAACAAAAACTATCGTATCTGTCTATCCGTATGTCACAGCTATTTTCACCGTGATTATTGGACCTATATTGTAGAAATAGGGAAAGTAAACATCATATTATGAACTGAACAAATCTGAATATGAACAGAAAATGATCGGTTTTCGTAACTTCGTTTCGTAAATTTATTTTATAATTTATTTTTATTATATATTTTTATTTCATGATATATATATATTTATTTTATTTTATAATATACTTTATAATTATAATAAATTAAATACTTAGCATGAAATACAAACCTGTTTATGATGTCAATAATATATAAGATAACTAAGCACGTACAATGTACATACGTACATACATATATTAAAACACAATATAAATTCAATGTAACTTAAAGCTATGGAACAACCGACGCGCGAGGCAAACTCGTACTTGCTGAATATTTTTTTTATAATTCAAACTAAATGTTGTCGCTTGTGAGTGTTTCTCTATCACATTACTTTCTTCCAAAGTTTTAGATTTCAATACCTTGAACCGTGGTTCACGACGAATTTTGCGTTTGCATCCGTTTACATATTCGAGTTCCCTTTGTTCTTTCAATTAGAATTAGATTTATTTGGTAGGCAAATGAGTGAAATGTAAACAAAAAATGTTAACATATTTTTTAATTAAGGGTAGCCTTGGTCATGTTTCATTAGGATAGGCCCAAATAAAACATGGCAGCAAAATATTATATTTGTTTATATATTAGGGTTTATAAAATACTTCGCGTAAAAAACGATTTTACTTCGAATCTTTCACTGATAATAATTTCATATTTTAAAATATTCAGTAATTTATTTATTAACATTATCAGGACCTAATTTAATAATATGTATTTTGTTACAGAATATATCAATTTTTGTGGTGCTGTTATATAGTTGGAGGATCGGTGTTAATGCTAAGAAGTATAAAGATCTCGACGATGTTTATTACGGTAAGTTTATATTGACTTGACAAGATTAAAATAAGGAACAAAATTTATGTTTAAAAATATTTTTTTAATACCACTTTGTAATAAGCAACGATCAGTAATTAATATGTAATATTATTACTATGACTCCTTTACATTTTAGATAAGATTTAAAAAGTTTACACATGATTTTTTAATTTCAATGCCATTATTTAAGCCAAACATAGACTATCATGTAGCTATAGCTTATACAGGAACAATTCGTAAAATGAATTTCTACATACACAAAAATCACTTAAAATACTTCTGCTTTAAGATCCACATAAACGATAGAAATAAAACTTAGCTATATAATAATAAATTTATATTAAGATTAATTGTAGCTTTTGACTTTACCCCTTTTATCTCCCACTAATGGGAGCTGTGAGAGCTCACTCACATTGAAAATTGGGAAGAAATCAAGATATAGTTCACCACGCTGGCAAAACACGGTTTAGTGAAGTTTTATTATCTACGAAGTTTATCTACGAAGAGTGCTGTGGTATCAAATGATTTTTGTAGGTAGTATCTTATCAGTATGACAAATAAAAGAAGGTTACAGTCATAGACAAAAGCAAAGCTTATTAAAGCGCGTTAATAAAAAGTCTCATTGGTATCCTCAGCAAAGTGCAAAATCCTCAGTAAAGAGTCAAAAATTCTCGTTGCCTTTTCAGTCTGACTTTAAATGGACAGCTGAAACTTCTTTAATACTAGGCATTAACTGCGAAATAGTCTACGTGTACGAATACCTAAAAAAAATTCATATAAAAATAAAATGACACCTATAGATTCTAGAAACCTTTTATTTAAAAAAACCAGACAAAAACTTATTAAATTACATCACAACATTTTCGGCGGTGCGTTAATAACTTCACGAGGGTATTGTTATCTTTTTCTCTGGTAATGAGAAAGATAAATTGAAACGATGTAAATATTTTCGATATCATGAAAACAGTATCAATCTTCATATAAAATTATAAAACTGCGATTTCAAAATTTCTAAGTATTGAATATTTAAAAATATATATATTTTCTTTACAAAACATAAAATAAATTTGAGAAAATTTAAAATAGACTATATATTCAAATAAATTACAATTACATTAGTTTTTGCCTTCGATTCCACTCGTATGTAAACAAAACAGTAGCCAGTGTGGAAGTGGGGGCAACCCCATGGTTGATATGGCCTGCCTCAGCAGGCCTGTCGTCGGGACGTCGCGCGTCGTGGTAACGGAGAAGGTTCCGTTGAATTTAAGTCAGTGATTACTGGCTTTCCTAACCAACGAGTCTCCATATAACTACAGGTACAGGTCAGGTTACATGGATGGCTCGTACACTGGTAGTATGCGTAAATGCATTTCGCAATCTCTAATCTATTGAGTTATTACATCATGTAAAAATAACAATCATCAAGTCACGCGTAAAATATAGCATTTATAATATTAAAATATTTGTACTAGTGGTAATTTAGCTTCAACATCAGTAACTGTCTTCATCAGTCAGCTGTCGCCTAATCTAGCTATTTTATCGAACTCTAATTTGGGGCGCTCAAATTTTATTATGCATTTACATATAAACTATAAATAATTATTAATAAACCAACATTTTATATTGAAGGCAGTGGTAGCCCAGTGGTAACGCGCTCACTTGGGAAACCGAATGAAGTGAGTTCAAATCCCGGGTCTCGCACCTCTGATATTTTCATGTGCGAATCATTTCGAACATGATTACCACTTGTCTTAACGGTGAAGGAAAACATCGTGAGGAAACCTGCATGTCTGAGAGAATCTAGCAAGTTTTCAAAAGACATGTGAAGTCCGCCAACCCGCACTTGGCCAGCGTGGTGGACTATGGCCTGATTCCCCTCGTGCTGAAGGGAGACCTGTGCCCAGCAGTGGGACGTTAAAAAGGGCTGAATACACAACCAATATTATTGTATTTATTATTTGTAAAAATTTAAATATTTTAACAAATTAATTTAACTGCTTGTTAGATTGACATTGCATTAAGATTTCGGTCTCTATTAGCGATTAGGCAAATAATTCCATTTATTCGATATTATTAAAGCTAAATACATAATATTAAATTCAATTCAATTATACTTATTAAAACTGCTGAACTGAATAACTAGTTAAAAAAAATTTAAAAGACTTTTTTGTTTTACATACAAAACCTAAGACTTTCTGAATCACATGACAACATAACTAAAACATAAATAAATAAATATGTTGGGACATTAACACACAGCACCATCTAGTTCCATGGTAAGCTACGAGGTTTGTATTATGGATACCAGACAATTGATACACTACACATATATAACTGTAGATACATACATATTATAAATATATACACATATATAACTGTAAATACATACCATGACTAGAGTACAAAAATTGGTATTCATCACACAAATGAATGCCCCCAGCGGGACTCGAACCCGCGACAGCTGGCACAGCAACGGTCACTACAAACTGAGCCAAACGTGTCGTCAAAAGTATAATATGAGACGTTCATTTGTTTTACAATTGCTACATTCAATTATTATTATTATGAATTAAATGTGAAATGTGTCAAGGATTAAAACTTTTACGATTATAAATTCTTCGAAGAATCAAATTTCATTTGCAGATACTGAGCTGAACTTTTCAACTCGAGTACTTTTTAATTAACGTTAAATTATGAAAATGCTTAAGACCAAAAGCCTGACAGCAGATAACTTTTATGACAAAGCTTTATTTTTTCAATACAAACAGTGATTCTAGAATATTAATTCGCCAAATTTTCAATGAAGTAATGAACTCAACAAATTTTTATTAGTTAGTTAATTAAGAACAGTAGCTTGTTCTTGCGTTTTATATTTTCTCAAAGTAACGAAGAAAATACCTTCAGGCTTTACACGTGATCGATTTTCCCCGATTTGTTTGCGTACTCCAGAATCGATTACGTGATGTAGATGTAACAGATTATTTACCTTACGCTCGTCCCTTGTACATAAAAAAATGTCCAACTTATTTGACAAACATATAGTATGTGCTTTACAAAATAAATTTACTCTCACAAATTGCATGATTTTTGGATGTTTAAATATTTTCTTAGTGATGATAGAAAGTGTTGCTAGTAGTTGCTAGTAAATATTGTATGTTATAATCTGTGGTGTGTATAAGTACTTACGTATATAATATATATGTACGTATATAGATTTCTCAGAGATGAGATATTTTTCCGCAGTAAAAAGTATCCTATATGTTGACCCGGATAACCAGCTATCATCATACCAATTATTGAAATCCGTCCAGTACTTTTCTCGTGATACGTTCCCAGACAGACAAACAGACCGACAGATAAGAATTCTAAAAACTATAGATTCGGCTTCTGTATCGATAATAATGACTATTTCAATAAGATTTTCCAAAAAAATATTTAATGTACAGATTCGACTTAGAATTTTATTATATGTGTAGATTTATATACTTTGGTGACTGCTTCGTTGATTTAATGGCTAGCATGTAGTACGGCTGCTGATCGTGAGTTCCTGGGTTAGAGTCATTGTTTTTCTGTCACTAAATTTAAAATAATTAAAGCAAAAGAGAGTGCACTTGTCTGCACACACACTTGTTCATCCACCTATAATATGTCCACCGAAATCAGTTAGGACATTATTTAGGTATACAAACGAATTAAATACTATTACCTATGTATTTAACTTAGCTTAAAATTATAGCTAAAAAATTCTAAGGAAAACTCAGAAAGTAATTGTAATAAGTTTTAAACTTAACATCAGTCAACGGATTTCTGAGCTTTACATAGGATTTCATGAAATAAAAAATAACATTTTTAGTAACGAAAACATAATTTTTGTCTTAGTAACATTAATATTTTGTATATGTAAATATTATATTGTGTCTATTTGTTTCAGGTGTACAGATAGCATATTTCGCGATTATCGGAACACAAATGTTTATGATCGTGCTCAGTATATTCCTTTTTTACGGGATTTATAAAGTAAGTATAATTTTGTCATTCTCTCAACTATTTACTATTCATTATAAATAATTAAGTATTTTTGTCTAAATAATAAGCACATTTTGATACTAATATCAGCTCATGAATTACATTCAACGAGGTCAGGGCGAATTTTTGTTACGTTATAAAATATGTAATTTTTATCATGTAGTGCTTACATACAAGTTATCCTATATTCGGCTAATCATTTGTATCTTCTTTATGTTATACGCTAGTTACTGTTTTTATATTGTAAGGTCAAAATGTCTTATGCCCGATTTCACCAACGTCACCTAAGTTTAAGGGATCCCCTAAGCCTGGTTAGGGGGCTGTTAGGGGACAGTTTCTGTTTCACCGACAGTTAGAGGTCACCTAAATGTTAAAAGGCCCCCTAAATTTAGGTGCCCGAAATATTCGCTTAAAGATGATGGTAAAACGAAATTTAATTTAGGGGCTAGTTTAGGGGAATTTTAAGCTAGGGATCCCAAACGTAGGTGGTAGCTTATAGGTTGTTGGTGAAATCGGGCATTACTCATCTAAAACTTGCTTTACTAGTAAAAACTAGCCAAGTCAAAGCTTGAACTTCAATTTACCCTAAGCTATCTACTCTGTGTAAATAATGCGACTTTTCAAATTTAAGAAGTTCTATTTTTAAATAGCAAACACTTTTGTAGCAGAAAAAAACTAGAAATTGTGTTTTAAATTTATTTTAGAATGTTGTATGTTCTTATGAAAAAAAATCAGGATTATCTACAGAACTTGGCACCCATTTAGATCTCAATTCTTTTATCGGTGAAGTCGAGAACCACGCATATTCTTAATATTGAACTTGGCTCCCATTTTCACATTTATGTTTTGATGGGATTGAAATATCAAGTGCCTAGCAGAAAAGCCATCGTAAAGAAAATATCTCTTACATATGACTTTCGAGCTATTCATTGCAGCAGTAAGAATATTCTGAATTTAAATTTTAACTTCCGGCTACTATTTAAAATATAGCGTGAGTCGGAATTTCTCATCCTTTGCTCAGTTCGGATGTAGTTCTGCATTTTTATGTTCAGAAATACGATGCGGGAGACTACAATTATTTCGTTTCACAAGCTTTCCGTATTTTCCAAGTCTACAGGGACCTAGTTTGTTTTATATAAGCACATGGAACTCTAAAATAAGATCAAGAATCAAGTCAGGTTTTATGAGAAGCACATATTTCGTTTTATAACATTATCAAGCTGTAATATCAGTAATAAAAAGAGTATCATAATACGCTATGTTCGATAATAACATACATTACAAATAAGTAAAATTTTATTATATAATAGATAGAAATCTGAATTATTTTAACTAATCTCTGTAAAATTTATTCAATTCAATTTCTTATAATAATAAGACAAATATTTTTAATGATTGGTATTGATTACGTGTTGTGGTGTGTAGTGAGGGGTTAGAAGTGTATCGGTTTCTCATGTTTAGTTCGGTTACGTGTCGTGGCGTGTCGTGATGCAAGGTATCTTGAAGCAAATGGCTACCCGCAAACCTCGTTATGTCAGTAGTGTGCGATATAAATGTATTCGCAAAATTTCTATGCGACTCGCGGATCGCGGTTATATCTTTGCAGACGTTGCATTTTTGTTTCAAAATATCATATAAAATAATTGAATTTATACGGCAATGTAAAAATTTATACATATAATATGAAAAGCTACAAAGACCACCCAATTACAATATTTTTGTATTTCATAGTATTTCTTACAGATATTAAAGGAAACAAAGTCCTAATATAACGATATTATCCCACATCTCAAAAACCAAGTAACATAAGTTTTTAAGAAATTTTGTTATTAAAAGTAATTCGAAAGTCTATTACCTCAATTACGACACCATTCTTTGAAACATCCATTAAATAGAAGAGAAGGGAATTGGGAATATAATATTAACGACTTTGGAAGCGTAAAACTCTGCAACTTTTGGCTTCAATAAAAACAGACGCTCACAATCATCCATCTTATTTCAGAGACCTATCCAAAAATCTAAAGATACCTCACACGCTAATGCACATTGAATTTTTTATAAGAGATAAGGTTAGTACACTTACGAAATGCCATGCCTATCTCATCCTATCTTTCTTATTTAATGAAGCCCTATAACAACTTGGGCGGGGTGGATAAACAAAATTTAATTTTTATTGTTATTCGGAATTTTTACCTTAAGAATATACAGAAAAATAGGAAATATTTACACGTTGTTACACATTATTTGGCTATTACAGCTAAATCCTTCTAAAATCTTGCCTCGGAATATAAGGAACAAGCTGCGTATAAAAACCAAATGAATTTTTCTTAACAATTTTTTTTAGTGAAGTGAAGACAACAAAGTGAAGTAAAAATAACAAATTGTATTAATAATATCGAGTAAAATATAACAAAATTATAATAATACCCTACTGCGGTAGGGTAGGTCCATATACGTAGATATATCGTCAAATAAGTATTAATTGCTTGATTAGCTATGAATATGTTATTGAAGATTTTGTAAAGAAATTTGTACCAAGTGAAGAAAAAAATGTGAATTACCTTCATTTTTCAGAACGCTCATTTTTAGTTTAGCCTTTTTAGTAGGTACTACACCTAATAAATACAGGTAGGTAGGTTTTTAGGGCGTACGACGTAACGGGTGGTCTATCTTATAGGCCCAGGACGCCAAATTTTAACATACGTTTCTGCTTATATTACGCGTGATATATGTACATACTATATTAAAACAATGTAATTATTTTCAACTAAAAGCGCTTAAATACAGCTTGTAAAGTTATAAACTTTTAAGTGATACAGAACATTAAAAGTTTTCACAATATGAAATATGTTAATTTACAACTGTTATTACTACGAATAGTTAGTTACATTACTCACTAGGTTAGAGCTCGTAGCATTTGCAATATAAAGGACTTAAATTACAAGTACCTACTTGTATTTTTAACCGACTACCTCTGAAGGATAATACGGTTTTTGAATGTAAAAATTGTAAAAGAAAAAGTGGTCTGATCGATTTTAATACAGTATGAGGCGTCATAATCGTCTAAATTGTTAAAATTACGTAGTAAATATTAATATGAAATTAAATTATAAAACTTTATAGAATAACTCTGCCCAAAGCCAAGCCCGCGCAAATGGGGAACGCTAAAAAATATTTTCTATAGTGAATTACCCTTTTATATCAATTTTCATAGCGATCTGTTAAAGATATAGCAATTGATGCGCAGTGCAATCTTATGTCAAGTTACTATAAAACGGAGAAGATATAAACCTCTATGTAAAATAAGTTTATATAGATCAAAATTTCAAAAGAATCGGTGAGAAAGGTATAGAATTCGCGGTATTTTCATTTTTCACAAACGAACATTACAATTTTTTTATATATACATATGTATATAGATGCTGAAATAAAAAATAAATAAACGTAAATATTAAATGTAAAATTAAAGTTAGAAAATAACCAATTTCGAGAATGTTTGCCTTGTGTTCGTTGAAAAGCGTATTATAATAAGCATTACAAAACTTAATAATTTTATGCAAATGTAATTGTTACAGGAAAACGTGGCATTTCTCGTGCCGTGGGTGTTGGGCTGTATGACGTTCATGGCATTGGAGGCTATGGCCATGGTCTACTCTAACATACTACGAGATCACGTCAACAAAGTAAATAGCAATTCAGCTTAATTATAAAATATAATTAGCGACCTACCCTTGCTTAGCTCGGGTGCATCACTTAGTGCTTATGTATTCAGGTCTTGTTCTATTTATGACCTAAATTACATCCAAATCCGCCCAGCCATTTTAGCTTAAAGGAGTAACAAACATACACACATATACAAATAATAGTAGTCCGGTAGTAGTCCGAATTACCTCTTAAAATATTTATTTTCTTTCACGATTAACCAGTCAGTTTTCTGTTCCTGGTAAATTACCAAAATTCCTCTGTTACATACGAGATGTATATGAATATATTGAAACCACGATATGTGTTCAAATATTATAAGCTAGTAAAAGGCAACACTGTAGCTATGGAAACTTCACTTCAATCTTAAAACTTCTTAATCTTAATTTATATCCTTGACGAATTCTATATTTAAGTAAAGATGGAATTGAAAGCTCATTGAAATAGATATATGCCATACAATAAATAGCGCTTTATTTATTGTAGCGGAGCTTTAACAACGAAGCTTAAATGTAAATAATAAAATCATGAGCGGAACTAACTTTTAATATTATAACAAACAATATACAACACGCTTCGACTTTTCAATTTTCGTTTAATCTATCTAATGCATAAAACCAATATACATACTCGTATGTATCGCTCAAACAAATGCTACCATGCGTTACATTAATATTTATAACTTGTTGTTGTGAGAATTTCATTACTCTTAAAATGATAAGTAAATTGATAGAAATTCTTATTGCTTACAAAAGCTTCTGGAATTCATTGAATCATGTGTAATACGTTTTATAAATGAATGTCGTACCATAACTACTAAAAACAATTAAGTATTTAATAAAATATAATGTGCAGTTTTAGATTTAACAGTAAGCAGCACTTAATATTTTTTCACGAGCTCTCAAAAGTTATTTAATAATAAGCTTAAACATAAAACTCAAACCCAAACAAAATTCCATACTAAAATTTTATCAATGCGAAAATTCAAGTGAGGGTACTTAATCAAAGTTTAGTGAGTTAGTGTCTACTCTCTCGTGCTATAACGGATTTGATTGAACTTCGTAGAATAGATAGCTTATATTCTGTATGAATGTTGTATCGATAATATATAAACTACAAGAAACGAAAATGCTACGAATGCTTTTTTTGTAAATTATGATAGCATACGTATGATTTTTTCTTTATGACTTGTTAAAAATCTTTTTATCGAAAGTGGGTGGTTATTCAAGCGTCTTTGAAGCTTCAATAAATCTTTAAGTGAGCGGAATGTCTAAATTTAGGATACTTCATGAGACTTGTCTTCAAAATATTATAAAATTGTGTTCAAAATACGATATTGTAAATATATATTACAATTATAATAATGGCAATAAATAACAATGCCATTCTCAACCAATTGCATTACATATCTACAGCTTACTAAAATAATACTAGTCATATTAAATAAATATTATTAAGAGTATAAATATTTTGATGAAAAAATAATTAATAATAATATATAAATACATAATATAAAAAGTATCGAGACGAAATTTCTCATAGTGATAGGAATAAGTTAAACAGTGACAAAGTCAATGTCAAACTCTGTATCAAATCATTAACACAATGTCCTTTCAGTACGAATATTGATCACAAAACAATTTGACCTAGAAACTTTTCTACCAATATGTAATAACGATCTATGTAATGTACATATTAGAATCATTTGTATCAATGCTTATAATATTTATATATTATGTATCTATGAGTTGTTTCAACATTTTTTTTTTAAATCAGGGATAAGTACGTTTTGAAAGTATTTCGGTGTTTTATTAGCTTTGTAAGAGAAGAGAGATTGATAAGTATATCAACTAAACATTCAACATGGATCGATTGATCCATTAAAGTGATCGAAACAAAAATTTCGAAAAAATAACAATATAGTGTATGGATATCTCAGGAAAAACCATCATTATGTTTTAAAACTTATATATTTTAAATAGATTTAGTTATAATTTATTAGAAGACACTTATTCTCATCAATTTCTTATTTCTTTGCTCCAGTTAAAAATCACGGATCGCATTCACCCATAACAACCCCCCGCCGAACACTCCCCTCTTTTTTCATTTATTCTTCCTATTTTTAATTGTATTTTTTTCGGCCTGACCATTCTCGTCATTTTTAAATGCCTGGTTTATAAAGGATAGAAAATATTTGTGCGTTCGCGTTGTCAGTGTAGCCAGTAGAATCAATTAAACGTCGAGAACCAGATCTAAATAAATTCGCGAAAAAGTCCGAAAAGATAGTTTTATTTAAAATGTCCAATATTCGCGTAAATCTAAGAAAGTATTAAAATTTAAAAATGTTTTGTTTTCTACTTTTAATCTATATCTACAACACATCCAAGCTCAAAGTTTTCATGTACTTTTTCTATTTATTTTTAAAATTATTCCTTTTCATTTTAGTTTCAATGACAGGATAGTATTTTTGCCCTTCAATTTGTAAGGAGAAATTTATAAAATCGTCTTATGTCTTTTTAATTCTTTGTATGGAATTATTATAACTGTTATCCATTCACTGATGAGTAATATAAACTTTACGAACGTAATAGCTAGTGTAGGTGTAGCCGTAATTACTTAAGCATTAAAACTGTTATAATGCGGAAACTCCATTACAGTATTAATATCGAAGAGTTTATGGTATAATTTATTCTATCAGATTATGTTTCCAAAGTTTATAGAAAGCTTTTCTGCATATTTTTCGACAATTTGTAATATTTCATTTTTAGTTTTAGTAGATACTTATATAAAAATAATCACTATATCTATACATATAATAAAATTGTAAGTAAGTCGAATCTGTACATTAAATATTTTTTGGAAAATCTAATTGAAATAGACATTATTATCGATACTGAGTCCGAATCTATAGTTTTTAGAATTTTTGTCTGTCTGTCTGTCTGTTACCGCATCACGAGAAAACCAGTGGAAAGATTTTGATGAAATTTGGTATGATGATAGCTGGTTATCCGGGTCAACATATAGGATACTTTTTACTGCGGGAAAATATCTCGTTTCTGAGAAAAAATACAAAAACTGCATACTAATATGTAAAACCTAAGAATTTGGTTTTTGGTCATCTAAACGCGGTTTGAGCCGCGGGCAATGCTAGTCTATCTATATTTTATAAAATATCTCTTTACACAGTCCATTAAATCTTTACGTATTGTATATGTTACCTATATGTACGTCAAATTGGGATGCTGGCATCTCCATTATGTGGTATAATAGAGGCATATTAATTCATACATAATTAATAGCTATGTATGGGAGTAACGAGAAAATATGTTATCAATGTTCTGTAAACAATATTTAAGGATATTTTAAAATACGATGTTCCGGTGATTTATTGAACGTATAAATTTAAATTTGTATTGAATATGAATTTAAAATACTATTGGCACGTCATATGAAAGTTTTACCTTTAATATTTATCTTTCTAGTAGAGAGCCCAAATAGATACCTTATTGTTTTATAATGTATGAGGTAAATTATTAAGTACAAGTATAAAATACGAATCTAAACTAGCACAAGTATTTACGATACAAGATATCGCGTAACATAACACAAACAAATACAGTCATAATTACCTTATCTTTAAAGTCGGTAGAAAGATAAAAAAAAATTAAGGAGCGAGCGTATAAAACTCATGAATTTAAAATATCTATGCGGACTCTTTTGTGGATAGCCTCGATGCCATCTCGCTATGTACTTTATGACGCTACTTATTTGTGGTCCTAACTTCTTCCACTTTTCAAAGTGTTCACTCCATTTCGCTTAAACATTCTTAAACAGCGCTATCTACTGAATTTTATAACTAAAATGCTATTACAAATATTATAGAAAAAAATTATCTATACATATAATAAAATTGTAACTAAGCCGAAACTGTACATTGAATAGTTTTTGGAAAATCTTATTGAAATAAACATTATTATCGATACAGAAGCCGAATTTATAGTTTTTAGAATTTTTGTCTGTCTGTCTGTATGTCCGCATCACAGAAAAACCACCGGAGGGATTTTGACGAAATTTGGTATGGTGATAGCTGGTAATCCGAAGCAATATATAGGATACTTTTTACCGCGGGAAAGTATCTCATTTCTGAGAAAAAATACAAACACTGCAATGTAAGAGTATACTAATATATTAAACCTAAGAATTTGGTTTTTGATCATCTAAACGCGGGCGGAGCCGCGGGCAATGCTAGTTCAATAAATATAATATGTCGGACAAGTTTGATACAAATCTATTTAACGTTACTCAATATTACAAAGTAATAACATTAATAGGATAACAATTAAAATGGAGTAGAATGTTAATATGTTATTTGAATTATAAATAGATGTATAGCAATTCCTTTATAGGTACTTTCGAAGAAAATTAATGCCAGCAGTTAAAACACTGAGTTCGATATAAATAAAAAGATTGGTGTTTCTCTTTACTTTTAAAATAGTGAGCTCGTTACAATTAATGAGACCATTCCGATTCAGTTGTAGTACAAATTTAAAAGTATACTACGACACTACATGTTACACTCTCGAAAACAAAAATGTTTAATATATTTTTATGAATTTTTAAAGGTCCAAAGAGTTTTTTATCCCGCTCATATCGATCACTGGTCATCACGATCACTGTTATGGTCGCCAACGATTAACTATTTACCACTGATCACTCCACAATCGCGATTATCTATACATCTATACAGATAAATAAAATTGAAGTGTCTATTTGTAATATCGAAATAATAGCTTTTTTACTAAATGTATATGAAATTATATACGGTACTTATAAGAAAAACACAATTTTTGACATTTTTGTTTGTCTGTCTGTTCGTTCCGGCTAATCTCCGAAACGGCTGGGCTGATTTTGACGGTACTTTCACTGGCAGATAGCTGATGTTATAAGGAGTAACTTAGGCTACTAGAAAAAGAATCAGGGGTTCCGCTAAAAAAATTAAAACGTATCTGAATAGGGACACACCAGAGCGAAGTAAGAGTAAACCGCTAGTTATATAAATGATTGGTCACTGCCACCATGGGCTCGGGCATGGTCACCTAATGAGTTAGTTGGTGATATAATTAACAAAAGACTGCTCCGTTGCTGGACTAGTAGGACTTTGATCCCGAGATGCGTCAAGTTTCTGCCATGTTTCTGACCGAAATTTTTCTCTTCATCTCAATCATTCAGCTACGCGGTTGCAGACTACCTGTTATTGTAATTATTTTAACATAAATTCACGTCGCTGTATCTTCAGGTACAGGTACTAGAATATTAGAATTAAGGCCACTTGCGTTCTTCCAAGCGATAAATATTGTTAGGTACTTAGTCTCAAACATCAATCGTCAATGAAATAGAAAATACATAATTTTCACAAAATATAAAAAAAAATTAAAACCCTCTTATTCAAATTCTTTTTAGTAATGATATTGCTAATGCTCTTTTAAGAAGTGCCTGTTGTATAATTGTTCTTTTTATAATCCCGTAAAAAAATATATCAAAATGTTTGTTTCAGCAATTCGACGCGATGTGCAAAGCGGAAATATTATTTTTAATACCGAGAATACTCTTGAATGTAAGTATACCATTAATTTGTGCTCGAATCTCAATTTCAGAGAAAGATAATTTTCTTTTTTTTTCGCAATAATATTTCGAACTTCTGTGAATTTATTTGCATAACTTTGTATTTACATAATTTAATAAAAAGCTATGTTTTAATATGAATGAACCTTTTAATAGTAAGAAATTGAATAATAAAACCAATAAAATACACAGTTACACGTAATGATATGATATACATTTGGCTCATTTTGTAGTGATCCTACTTGCTATGCCAACGGTGACCGGTTCGAGTCCGGCTAAGGACTTTTTAATTATTTAACGATTGGGTATGAGCAGTGATAAATTTATCAAAATAAAGAATTAAAATTAAATAAGATGTGTATCCTATGGGATTTTATATATCAAATGCTTCTCAAATGCTATCTTTCACATGTTTTCTTTCAAAATGGCGAGCTTCCATATTTTGATTCTAATTTAACCCTATTATGCCAATTCGACTAAACCTTTCTTTGTGCTCTCCTGAGTTTACTATTTTTATAACTAAGGTAAGCCCTAAGAAACTCTTATAAAAATTTAGTTATGGGGTATTTTTCAAACAAATTGCAGTGTCTATGCATATGGTGCGTATTGCGACTGTATCACCTCTTAAGAGTAGGAGTCACGTGGAAAGGCTCAGCTGCTATCGAGCTGTGACTAATGCCACAAGAGGTCCGCACCGACTCTTCGAGCCGCCCGCCCTGCGAAACGAGCCTCCTACTCGGCGGTGCGGAAAGTGACACAGATGCAAGTCTACACTCGCTATGACGGATAATTGTTGTAGTCAACGCGTTTTATATGTTTTTTAATAATAATTAATGTCATGTAATGACTTATTTGTAAATAAATAAAAAATATAATATGCATACTTATAAGCGGTTTGAACGATTCTCTAATAATTTTGTTAAACTATATATTATGTATATATCGCGTATTTTATATTGTTCTATTTCTTAATCTGTTATTTTCCATTTTATGTCGATTATCTCTCCAGTAGTATTAGGTTTGGACAGAACTCTCTATTCATTAATTCTTTATATTTATTATATTATATTGTACACATGTAAATTGTACAGTACAAAATCAGACATACACACATATGTACATAAAGATCTACATATACATATGAAGACATGATGTTTTAAGTACTGATATTTTTTATGGATACATACATATATATGTCTTGTACATTTATTAGCGAAAAAATTTCATACGATTTTTTTTAAATAAAAGCAAGTTACTATAACTGCTTTATTATAATTTCAGTAGAAAATATTTTTTCAATATACAATTAGAAGATTAAAGATAAATGTAAATGACGTTAAATATTTAATGTTAATAATTAAATTGTAAATTCAAAACTACAAGATATCAAATCTAAATTGTTCAAAGGAATTCTTTTAGGAATATTTCGAAGTGAATTAAAACATCAAGAGGACACAAAGTGAGATGTAGTATATATATATTGAGATGTATATGTATATATATGTATGTATATATATTCGTTGTTTATTACGAGGCTTGTTTTTGCGGAATGTAAATATAATTGTAGTAGAAGAGTGTGTAAAAAATGTGTATATAATAATTAATTGTATGTATAAAGGCTAAGCTACTGTGACATGACAATGTTTATATAGCTATATATATTATGCATCTTTATGTAAAGAGGGTTATTTTATTACAGATATTCTATTTACAGATTCCTCCACGTCATGAATATGGTAGATTTGTTGTAGATATTTAACCTGGCCCTACTATAGTTTTACTGTACAAAACAATTCGCAATCAAGTGTTTAAAACTTAAATAAATTATTATTGAATGTTACAATTTGGTTTTTATTTATATCATTATATACCTTTTTTACAGGAACTAACATATTTATATTATTAATATAATTGTTACGATATATATATATATATATATATATATATATATATATATATATATATAGCACTATGTTTCCTCTATATATCCCAAAAGGTAAATAGTGTAAACTGACGTGTACATATCATGAATAGAAGTTAAAATATAAAACATAGGTAGGTATGTACTTACTAATGATGATTATTGACCAACATAAGAATCTAAATTAAACCAAATTTTCAAAAAGTTTGCTCTCCATTGATGTTATCATCAAATATAAAGTAGAATAAAATCCACTTCAGAGTTTTTTTATATGTAACTAGCGGCTCACCCTCGCTTCGCCCGGGTTCGCCTCTAGAAAAACAAAAACAAATCTATCCCACGGGAACCGAATATTTTTCTTGGAACAAAAGTAGCCTATATGTTATTCCAGACCATAATCTACCTCTATGCCAAATTTCATCCAGATTCGTTCAGCCGTTCTGACGTGAAAGAATAACAAACATCCATAAACACAAACTTTCACATTGATAATATTAGTATAGATAATATGTACAGATTACTTTATTACATAGAAAGTATACCTAATAAACTATTAAAATTCAATAAAAATAACAAAATTGAACAAAGAAATAACTGAAGTCAAATGTCTGAAACGCTATACAAAACTGGACGCTAAACTTTTAATATACACATCATTTAAAGATGAGAGTTATCTGACACAGGCCATTTATGAAGCGAAATAGACCATAAAATACAACAGATTTATAACTATCTTATTTTTACTTTCTTAGATTTTCGCGAATATTTGACATTTTAAATAAAAGTATCTTTTCGGATTATTTCGCGTATTTATTTTGATTTTTGGTTCCCGACGTTTCGAATCCATGGTCAAGGGAGAGACTGAGGTGTTACATATCTCGAGGGTATAGTTGTTACAGACAGCTGTTTGTAAACGTTTTTGAAACGTCGGGAACCAAAAATCTAAATAAATCTGCGAAATAATCCGAAAAGATAGTTTTATTTAAAATATCTTATTTTTATAGCTACTTAACCTCGCTTAGATCGGGTGCCTAACTACGTATTTTTTTTAGTGGAACCCTTCTTTTTCTAAAAAAAATTAGCTTAAATTACTGCTTATAACGTCAGCTATCTGTCAGTAAAAGTCCCATCAAAATCAGCCCAGTCGTTTTGGAAATTGGTCGGAACAAACAGAGAGATAGACAAAAATATACAAGATTGTGTTTTTCTTATAAGTACAGTATATTTTTTTTTTTTTTTTATACCACGTCGGTGGCAATCAGGCATGCGGCACGCCTGATGGTAAGCGGTTACCGCAGCCTATGGACGCCTGCAACACCTTGGGCATCACATGCGCGTTGCCGACCCTTTAAAAACCTATTTACTCCCCTTTTGAAGGACCCCATACTGTAGCCCTCTGGGAAAACCTCGGCAGGGAGTTCATTCCACAGCGAGATGGTCCGTGGGAGAAAGTTCCTCTGAAACCGAACTGTACTATAATTCCGTATACATTTTATCATACAAACAGACATTTTAATTTTATTTATCTGTATAGATATATTAATGATGTTATCGTTAGGTAAACGGTCAACATTTTTTATCCCTTACTTGGACACGTACACCTTTTGATCAAAGAAGTTCGAACTACATAGTTCAGTGAACTACATATTAGACATTTTAAGTTCCTTTGTAGCTTTGTGTTTGTAGCAATACGGCCTGCAAAGCCGGTCTCAGATCAATTTACGACTCGGTGATTTAAATCGGTGTTAGATGAGATTGTAAATCCTATTGTCAGGACATGCCTTTACAAGGACATAGCATTAGCCATTAGATATATCGTGTTTTATTTTTTAGTCAAAACAGCACTTCACTTAATGTATCTTTGTAATTTCATATATTATGCCCTAAAATAAATCTTGATACAATATTAAAATACTGTTTTTATTATTATATCCGAACAATAATAATTAATTTAATACTCTATATATCTTCTTTAATGGCATAGACAAGGGAATGCCATAAACATAATATTTTCTTAAAATAGAAAATCAATATTAATTTAGTGGTTTTTCGCCATTACCAATATCAAAATGATGTCTCAATCATTAATCATTATTTTTAATAAAATACTAAAAAAGATGGCACACCGACATAATAACGGTGAGAAATAAGATATGATAACATTGATATTGTATTGAGATCAAAAGGGTTCAAAGTAGTTAATACTAAAAAATTAGAGTACAAATAAAAAGTGACGGTAAAAGCTATTTACATTTCCATGTCTTTAAAAGCTCTATATTCTGTAACCTCATTCATAAAATTTGATATTAAAAAAAATAACAGCATTTTCACTCCTTTATATAAGCTTTCAAATACTCTTGACTCTTACTCAAAGAAAATTACTAAAGTTAAGGACGTATAAGTAGAAATGGTAATTTCATTAGTATGCCAGTAAATGAATTCGTCTGAAGTAAAATGCACTCACACAAAGCTCATGTTATTAGTACGAGTATATTCTTCTTTTACAATATACTTTTTTCAACTTTCTTGATATTTTAAATATAACTATCTTTTCGGATTATTTAGAGGATTTATTTTGTTTTTTGGTTCCCGACGTTTCGAATGCTTTACAGCAATCATGGTCACGGAAGAGACTAAGGTTGTAGACGTCTGAAACACGTACTTGTTACAGACAGTGCCTACCCACTATTTTACAAAAATGATTTCAAAAAATTCAAAAATGGCAATAAAGTACAAACATATTTTTTTAAATGTCTGAAAAAGGATATACAATATCCTTTTTTCACGTTGATACAGTGTGACGAATTGGCGTAATTTTTGTGTGGAGATAGTAGGAGGGCCGGAGAGTGAGTTTTTACTGCGGGAGATTTTCTTATTCCCACGGGAAAACACGTAATAATACAACCCGAAAAATATTTTTTTTTGATCAGAATTACTTGAAAGTAGGTATAAATTCTCTATAAATTTAATAAATATGTGTTTTAGTATTTTTCGAAATTCATCTCATAAGGGACTAAAATAGGGGATGAAAATTTATATATAAAACCTTCCTTTTAAGTTTTTTTGTAGTTTTAGCGCGAGCGAAACCACGGATTCTGCTAGTAGATTTATATTTATCTTACTTCGTTATTAAGTTTTAATTATACTAGACATATTGTATGTATGTATCCTAAAAATTCTTTATCTTATGAACAAACAGTAAAACAAGCTTTTTATACGTCAATTCCAATTACGATCGATGATATTATATTACATCTTCTATTTCTGAATAAATAATATTGCTGTATATTTAATAGTCCTTGAAACGAGTATTTGGGGCAGACACATAATTACTAAAATGCCGTGAATGAAATTCATTAAACTCTACGTTACACGAGAACTATCGAGGATGATCTCTTATTAATAATAATTAATATGATTAGTGATGAGACATTTTCACTAAATACTAAGCAGAAATTAGGACAGTTGTGATTAGTGAGTTTTATTGAATTACCCACCGTTAAAGCCTCAGAGCGCAAGACCTTTAAACCTATTATAAATATTAACGTATAATATAAGTGGACGACGTGCTTAAAAACGTTGTAAAACTATACTGTGCACGCGAATGAAGTCGCGGGAAGAATATAATATATAAAATACAATACGGAAATCAGGCAATACGGAAATCAGGCAATACGGAAGGCAGTGGTGGTCCAATGGAAACGCGCTCGCTTGGGAAACCAACTGAAGCGGGTTCAAATCCCGGGTC